ATCCCAAGTAGGATTTTTGCAGAAATGGACAAGCTGATCCTATGATCCATATGGAAATGCAGATGACCTGGACTAGCTAAAATAGTCTTAAAAAAGAAAGTTGGAGGACTTACACTTTTGATTTCATAACTTAGTACAGATCCAACAGTGAGGTAAGGTATTGGCATAAGGAGAGAAGACATAGATCAGTGGAATTGAATTGAGAGTCCAGAAGTAAACTCTTACATTCTTCTTTTTCTAAAAAATATATTTTTTATTAATTTCAGAGAGGAAGGAAGAGGGGGAGAGAGACAGAAACATCAATGATGAGAGAGAATCATTGATTAGTGCCTCTTGCACGCTCCCCACTGAGGATCGAGCCTGCAATCTGAGCATGTGCCCTTGACCGGAATCAAACCTGGGACCCTTTAGTCTGTAGGTCGACACTCAATCCACTGAGCCAGACTGGCTAGGGCAAGTTTTTTACAAGAATGCTAAGACAATTCAATGAGGAAAAATAGTTTTCAAGTGATGCTTGGCAGCTGGATATCCATACAGGAAAATAATGAAGTTTAACCCCCTACTTCACACCAAATACAAAAATTAACTCAAAATGAATTTAAGAGCTAAGACTATAAAGACCTTAGAGTAAATACAAGAATAAATTGTAATGGCCTTGGCTAAGTCATAGGCTTCCTAGATAAGACAACAAAAGAAGTGAAAAGAAAAGTATAAATTGACGTATATCTTTGCTTCAAAAGACACCATCAAAAACTGAAAAAAATAACCCATAAAATGGGAGAAAACATTTTCTAGTTACATGTCTGATAAGGGATTTGTATCTAAAATATATAAAGAACTCTTAATGAATTGATGGTAGAACAATATCGCAGTTTTAAAATGGATAAAACATCTGAATAGACATTTCTCCAAAGAAGATACACAAATGGCCAATAAGCACATGAAAAGGCCCTCAACATCATTAGTGGTAGGATAATGCAACAGGAAGAACCCATTATTACAATTGCACACATGGTCTTATTTAGGACACAAATGACTTTAATCTGTAAGTTGATTATTAATAAAAAACGGTAGTTTATAATATTTAACAGCTTTGTTGAGATAATTAACATACAATAAACTGCACTTATTTAAGTGTACAATATGGCAAGTTTTGATGTTATGATATCATCATCACAATCAAGATCATGTCCATCACCTTCAAAAAGTTTCCTCCATCCCCTTTGTTAACCCCCTCTCTTCCCAAACAACCACTGATCTCTTTTCTATCACTGTAGGTTAGTTTGCATTTTCTAGAATTTAATACAAATGGACTTACACAGTTTGTGGTGGGGTTTGGCCTGGCTTCTTTTTTAGTTTGAGGTTCATCGCTGTTATCACATGTATCAGTATATGATTTCTTTTTATTGTTTTTGGTTTTTTTATTGATTTTTTACAGAGAGGAAGGGAGAGGGATAGAGAGAAACATCGATGAGAGAGAAACATCGATCAGCTGCCTCCTGCACAGCCCCTCCTGGGGATGTGCCTGCAACCAAGGTACATGCCCTTGACCGGAATCGAACCTGGGACCTTTCAGTCCACAGGCTGAGGCTTTATCCACTGAACCAAATCAGTTAGGGCTATTTGTTTTATTGGGGAGTAGTATTTCCTTGTGTTGATACACCACAATTTGTATATTCACTCATCTTTTTTTTTTAAATATATTTTATTGATTTTTTTACAGAGAGGAAGGGAGAGGGATAGAGAGTTAGAAACATCAATGAGAGAGAAACATCGATCAGCTGCCTCCCGCACAGCCCCTATGGGGGATGTGCCCGCAACCAAGGTACATGGCCTTGACCGGAATCGAACCTGGGACCTCTCAGTCTGCAGGGTGACGCTTTATCCACTGAGCCAAACCGGCTAGGGCATCACTCATCTTTTGATGGACATTTGATTTGATTATAGTTTTTGGCTATTATACATAACACTACTGTGAACATTCATGTCAAGTCTTTTCATGGACATATATTTTATTTATTTGGGGTAAGTACTTAGGAGTGGAATTGCTAAATCATGTGGTAGGAGTACATTTAACTTTTCAAGAAACTGCTGAAGTCTATTTCACCTGCCATATATGAGAGTCCCAATTTCTCCAAATCCTGACCAACACTTGGCATGGTCAGTCTTTTTAAATTTTAGTTTTCTAATAGGTGTATAGTGGTATCCCTCTGTGGTTTTTAACTAGCATTTCCCTAGTAACTAATGGTATTGAGCATCTTTGCATGTGTTTATTTGCCATCCTCTCTCTTCCTTGGTGAAGTGTGTATTTAAATCTTTTGTTCAGTTTTTTATTAGATTATATATATTTTCTTACTGTTGAGTTCTGGAGGTTATAATATACTATATTATAGTATACGCTATGTTAATGTTTTATGCTAATGTATATTCTATACATATGTATATAGAATACAAGTCCTTTATCAGACATAGGCTTTACAAAGATTTTCTCCCAGTTAAGGTGTACAATGTAATGATTTGGTATAGATAGCAAAATGATTACTGTGGGGAAAACTAATTAACATCATCTCACATAGTTATCTTTTTTGGTAATGAAACCATCTGAAATCTGTCTTAACAAATTTCTAGTATTCAATTCAGTATATTAACTATAGCCATGTTATATATTAGATAACTAGATTTATTAATTGCATATAACTGCAATTTGTATTCTTTTAACCATGCCTTGAGCAGAAATTTTAAATTTTGATGAAGTAGTTTATTAATTTGTTTTTTTATAGATTATACCTTTACTGTCATATCTACACATGAGGTTTTAAAGTTGGAAGTACCATTTCACTTATGAGTTCTATTGCAGTGGTTTCTTACTAGCTAATAGTATAAGATAGTATGTTCTCCTCTTTGCATCTTGTGAGTTTTAAAATTTTTTCTCATTTCATTCAAAGCTAACTCTGAATTAATATTATGAAATGTAAACATAAAAAACTATTTAGCCCAGCCGGTGTGGCCCAGTAGTTGAGCATCCACCTATGTGAGCCAGGAAGTCATGGTTCCATTCCTGGTCAAGGCACATGCCGGGATTACGGGCTTGATCCTCGATGTGGAGCATGCAGGAGGCAGCTAATCGTGATTCTCTCTCATCATTGATGTTTCTGTCTCTCACTCTCCCTTCTCTCTGAAATCAATAACAATATATTTTTTTAAAATTATTTAATGTGTGTGTTGGTCTTGCCATAATTAGGTCCTGCAAACTGTCAGAGTGTTATTAAAGTACTAGAGGCCTGGTGCACGAAATTTGTGCACTCAGGGTGGGCCCCTCAGCCCGGCCTGCACCCTCTCGCAGTCCAGGAGCTCTCGGGGGATGTCCAACTGATGGCTTAGGCCCACTCCCCGCCATCAGTCAAACATCCTTAGTGTTGCTGCAGAGGCGGGAGAGGTTCCTGCCACTGCTGCTGTACTCACCAACTGTGAGCCCAGCTTCTGGCTGAGCGGCGCTCCCCCTATGGGAGCGCACTGACCACCAGGGGACAGCTCCTGCGTTGAGCGTCTGGCCCCTGGTGATGAGTGCACGTCATAGCAACCGGTTGTTCTGCCGTTAGGTCGATTTACATATTAACCTTTTATTATATAGCCTTTTATTATATCATGCACTCGGGGGAGGGGGGTCCCTCAGCCCAGATTGCAAGAGGGCGCAGGCCAGGCCAAGGGACCCCACCAGTGCAGGATTGGGGCCTGGGAAGGACGTGGGAAGTTGGCCAGCCGGGGAGGGACTGCAGGAGGGCTCTAGGTCGTGTCCAGCCCCTCTCGCTCAGTCCTAATTGGCTGGACCCCAGCAGCAAGCTAACCTTCTGATCAGGGCGTCTGCCCCCTGGTCAGCCAGTCGACAGTCTGCCCCCTGGTGGTCAGTGCACACCATAGTAACTGGTCGACAGGTTGACTGTCTGCCCCCTCGTGGTCAGTGCATGTCATAGCGAGCGGTTGAGCAGCCTTAGCATATCATTAGCATAGTATGCTTTGATTGGTTTGGTTCTGCCATTCAGTCTATTTGCATATTACCCTTTGTATTAGATAGGACTAGAGGCCTGGTGCATGGATTCCTGCACTGGGGGGATCGCTCAGTCTGGCCTGCATCCTCTTGCAACCCGGGACCCCTCGGGGGATGTTGGACTGCCGGTTTCGGCCCGAGGGATGTAGTAGTGTGTGAAGCAGCAGGCGGCCAGGGAGGAGCCTGAGCCCGGGCCGGGCACCATACGCTCCCGCTCATCCTGGCCCTGCTGCACCTGCCACTGCCTGTTACTGCTGCCTCAGAGGCTGGAGAAGCTCACGCTACTGCAGCTGTGCTCTCCAACTGTGAGCCCAGCGTCTGGCACCCATCTGTCAGCTGAGCAGTGCTCCCACTGTGGGAGCGCACTTACCACCAGGGGGCAGCTCCTGTGTTGAGCTCCTGTGTGCACATCATATAGCAACTTGTCAAACGGTCAACCGGTCGTTTAGAATTTTGTATATGTTCTCCTACTACTTTATTCACTAAATGCAGCACAGCAAATAGATTTCAGGAAATAGAATCCAGAAAAAAGGACTTGAAAGTACATATGCTGCCACAAGCTTCTTTGCTGATAGAGTATGAATGGAAATTTTTAAATGTTAGCCAACAGGAAGGAAATTATATTCTGAAAGCCTGCTCTGATTTGCTAGGGTTTTGTTTGTTTGTTTGTTTGTTACTTCATATTTTAGAGAGAGGAAGAGGGGGAGAAAGAGAGATACATCATTGATCAGTTGCCTCCTACAGATGCCCCAACCAGGGATCGAATCTGCAGCCTGGGTATATACCCTGACTGGAAATAGAATCTGCACTTTTTGGTATATGGCACAGTACTCCAACCAACTAAGTCACACTGGCCAGGGCTGATTTGCTAGTTTTCTAAACAAGTTTTAATTTTAAATTGTGAAGGATTATTTTTCCATTAGAAAGATTTTCAGTGGAAAACTGTCTTTTTTAGTATTTCCACAGGTAACACCAAAAGGAATTAATGGTATAGACTTTAAAGGGGAGGCAATAACTTTTAAAGCAACTACTGCTGGAATCCTTGCTACACTTTCTCATTGTATTGAACTAATGGTAAAACGTGAGGAGAGCTGGCAAAAGAGAATGGATAAGGTAAGACTATTTTTCTTTCTGTTAAATAATAATCATTTAAGTTTTATATATGGATTGAATATTTAAACCAAACTAACTTGTTAGGGAAAAATGCATTGGAGTTGATAGAAGTAGTAGATGTACTTCTGAAACTTTGCAGGCATCTTAACCTCATTTTCCTAATGAGATTCATCAGTTAAATATTCAGTAACTGTACAATATGCATTCTTGATTAATAACATTTTTGTAATAACAGCAATGCTTTATTGGAAGTGATAAGCCATTTAATATTACCCAGCTTTATTGTATGACATATGAAACTGCATTTAAGCTGTATAAACTAACATAAACACAAATTTATAAAGTTAAATATTAACTTATTGCATTTATAACTATATGTATTTTCCAAGGTCATTGAGATATCATTCAACATACATTATATTATTCATTAAACATTTGCTTACTGTTCACCTTTTTGACCTTTGTTTAAATTGCAACACTGATAATATTACAATATGAATATTTAGTTTCTAGTGTAAAGTACGGCTTAGTGAATTTGTTTAGTATTTCTGTTTATAATTCAACATCAATAAAATAGTAAAATGTTAGAACTGAAACATGCCACCATTTTATAGAAGAAGAATTGTGCCCCGGAGACTTGTCCAGAGGTGTTAAGTAGCAGAATTAGAAGAATTTTACTATTTTCTGTATTTCAGCTCTGGATACTAGGCTAGACATCAGTCAGAATCTTTTGTTTTTGTTGTTGTTTTGTGGGGGGGTATCGTTAATCCTCACCCGAGGATATTTTTTCCATTGTTTTTTTGGGGGGTTTTTTTGCGTGAGTGGAAGGGAGGGGAAGACACAGAGTGAGAGAAACATTGATATGAAAGAGACACATTGATTGGTTGCGAGCCTGCAGCTGAGGCCTATGACCGGAAGAGAAACTGAGACCCTTCAGTCCAAGGTCTGACACTCTAACCACAGAGCCAAACTGGCTAGGACCAGTCAGAATCTTCTTCATCAGTGAGTCATATTGCTTGTAGAATTTGAAGGTCTTATCAATTAAAGCAGGACACTAGGAAAGCAATGTCAACACTGATTTAATGGCAGAATGGCCATACAATTTGAATATCACTGTGTATTTAAAACGGTCCCCATGTTTAGACGAAAAGAGAATTGTTCAGAATTCTCAAGTGAAGTAGCCATATTGACTGACAAAATATGTATCTTTTAAAAACAGGCAATAAAAACGTCCATTTAAGGTACAACCACTTCATTATTATTCAGGAGTCAAACTATTCTATATTGAAAGATTTCAACTCTGTACCAATGTGGATCAAATTGAATTTTTAGAATATTCCCTGTGCACACAAAAAATAATGTATTGAGAAAACAGGAGAACCCCTTAAATCTATTAGACTAATGGTCCAAGAGAATCATTCAACTCATCTAGACTAGTTTAAAACTTTTTTCTTTAGTCTCTTTAACCTTCACTAAGGAATTATCATATCTAACCACACTGCCTAAAAACATTCTATTCGTTTAAGATGTTTGCTTACATTAGTAGACTCACATATGTGTAATTTCGCATGCTTTTTCACTTTTCCCTAAGTCTTTTTAATATTGCTGAGCTGTGTGGTTTGGTTTGGATCATTTTTTAAGATATGTTAATACATATAGTGAACTACACTAATCTTAAGTGTACTGCTTGATAATTTTTGTACATTTGTATAAACCCCTGTAACCACCAGTCAGATCAACATACAGAAAGAACTTTTATAGCACAAGGTTCTTTCATTCCCCTACCACCACCTTAAGAGGTGGCCACAATTCTAACTTACATGATCATTGATTAGTTTTGTCTGTTCGTGAACATCATAAATGAAATCATACAGTATACACTCTTGTGTCTGTCTTTTTTCTCCCTTAACATGACTTAAGATTCATGTTGTTACATCTAGTGGTAGTTTATTCTTTTTTTATTATTGTATAGTATTTCACTGTGTGATGAATTTTCATTGTTTGACTTTAATTTGATTATTTTTCCTATTGATAGAAGTTTAGGATTTTATATTTTTATTATTATGAATAAAGCTTCTGGGAACATTCTTGTACATATTTTTTGATGGATATATGCACTCATTTCTCTTGGGCATATACCTGGGAATACAATTGTTAATTCATGGGGGTATATGCTTAGCTTCAGTGGATATTGACAATTTTCTAAAGTGGTTATATCAGTTTATTTATTTTTTTTTTTATTTTTTATTTTTTTAAATTAAATCTTTATTGTTCAGATTATTACATTTGTTCCTCTTTTTTTCCCCCCCATAACTCCCCTCCTCCCAGTTCCCGCCCCACCCTCCGCCCTCACTCCCCACCCACTGTCCTCATCCATAGGTGCACGATTTTTGTCCAGTCTCTTCCCGCATCTCCCACACCCCTTTCCCCCCCAGGAATAGTCAGTCCATTCCCTTTCTATGTCCCTGATTCTATTATAATCACCAGTTCATTCTGCTCATCAGATTATTTATTCACTTGATTCTTAGATTCACTTGTTGATAGATGCATGTTTGTTGTTCATAATTTGTATCTTTACCTTTTTCTTCCTCTTCCTCTTCTTAAAGGATACCTTTCAGCATTTCATATAATCCTGGTTTGGTGGTGATGAACTCCTTTAGCTTTTCCTTATCTGTGAAGCTCTTTATCTGACCTTCAATTCTGAACGATAGCTTTGCTGGATAAAGTAGTCTTGGTTGTAGGTTCTTGGTACTCATCACTTTGAATATTTCTTGCCACTCCCTTCTGGCCTGCAAAGTTTCTGTTGAGAAATCAGCTGACAGTCGTATGGGTATTCCCTTGTAGGTAACTGAGTTTCTTTCTCTTGCTGTTTTTAAGATTCTCTCTTTATCTTTTGCTCTTGGCATTTTAATTATGATGTGTCTTGGTGTGGTCCTCTTTGGATTCCTTTTGTTTGAGGTTCTCCGCGCTTCTTGGACCTGTAAGTCCATTTCTTTCACCAGGTGGGGGAAGTTTTCTGTCATTATTTCTTCAAATAGGTTTTCAATATCTTGCTCTCTCTCATCTTCTGGCACCCCTATAATTCTGATGTTGGTACGCTTGAAGCTGTCCCAGAGGCTCCTTACACTATCCTCGCATTTTTGGATTCTTTTTTCGTTTTGCTTTTCCGGTTGGGTGTTTTTTGCTTCCTCGCATTTCAAATCATTGACTTGATTCTTGCGCTCCTCTGGTCTGCTGTCGGGAGTCTGTATAATATTCGTTATTTCAGTCCGTGTATGCTTAATTTCTAGTTGGTTCCCCAATATAAGATCGAGGGTCTCATTAGTTTTCTTGTAGATCTCATTAAGTTTATCGGCGGCTTCTAAACAGTTCTTGAGAGACCTTAAAAGTGTGGTTCTGAACTCTATATCTTCCATTGACAATTTTGTCCTGTTTCTTTGTCTCCGCATTTTGTTATGCTTCCTTGGTGCACCCCCTAGTGGTCTTTGTTTGCAGTCTTATAGTTAAATCTTGATTGTTGTAGCTAATTCCAGGGAGGGTTTGACCTCCAGGCCAAGTGGCTATGAGAATCAGCTGTGTCAGCAGTGAGAGAACTTCTGTCCTCTAGGGAGGTGCTAATCTGGCGTTTGCCTGAGGCTATCCGGCAAAAGCCTCAGTGCAGGGCTTGCGTGGGGCGGGTCGCACAGGATCAACAGGGTGGGCTGGAGAGAGCAGTTATGGCGGCTCTCAGTCCTGTCCCCAGGGGCTCTGCCTCTCTGAGTCCCAGCACCCGCTGCAAAGCTCAGAGAGAAAGCTGCACTCGCTCTGACGGAAGCCAGACAGTCCCCCTTCTCCCGTTTGAGTCTGGGTCCCTAAAGACTCGCCCGGATCTGGAGCTCAAGAGTCTGCGACTCCCTCCCGATTGAAAACGCCAACCACGCCCTCCGCCGCCAGCCCGCTCCGCGCACTCCGCACCTCAGAATTTGACTTCAGCACTGTGCCTCCTCTGAGTGTCCGTATGCGTTTCTCTTTCCTGCTAGTTGTAGGACTTCCACTCAGCCGGCGTTCCTGTGGTTCTGGGTGATGTCCCTTCCGTTTTTTGGTTTCACTTTTGAAGTAGTTGTTCAAAGCAGCAAACTCCGGCGTTAACCTATGCCGCCATCTTGGTTCTCCTAAAGTGGTTATATCAGTTTAAACTCCCACCAGCAATAGATGAGAATTCCCGTTGCTGTTCACGCTTGTCAGCACATAATATTGTCAGTTTTGGGTGGGTGTTTTATTTTGACTTTTCACTTACTTTCTTTTGAAAATAGGAAATGGAGAAAAGAAGAAGAATAGAGGAAGCATACAAAAATGCCATGATAGAACTTAAGAAAAAATCCCACTTTGGAGGACCTGATTATGAGGTATGAAGTTATATTTTGATCTTAGAAAGGAAAACACATAGGCATGCCTATCACAAAAGTGATTAATTTTTAAATTATACTTTTGTAACCTTTAAAGGTTCTAAATATATAATTCTTCTATGTTTATTTTAATTAAATGTATATATCATAATATATAAATGCTAGGCTTACTTTGAAATAGAATTTTTGGTATTGCCTACAAAGTTTAGTACAGGCTTTAAAAGGCTTATTATTTTGCCTGTCCACTGTATAAGACAAGTGTTAATCTCCCCTGTGAAGATGATGATTTTTAATGTTTATCTTCTAACTTTTTTTTTAAATAAAAGCAACTTATGGAGGGAAAACCTGAGTACTTTATACAGACAAAAGATTTTAGTTTGCCCTGACCGGTTTGGCTCAGTGGATGGAGCGTCAGCCTGCGGACTGAAAGGTCCCAGGTTCGATTCTGGTCAAGGGCATGTACTTTGGTTGCGGGCGTATCCCCAGTGGGGGCTGTGCAGGAGGCAGCTGATCGATGTTTCTCTCTCATCGATGTTTCTAACTCTATCCCTCTCCCTTCCTCTCTGTAAAAAATCAATAAAATATATTTTTTAAAAAAAGATTTTAGTTTGTGCAATATACTATGATGTCTTATCCACAGTAGAGCATGAACTATTATAATTACTTTGCCTTTATGTTTGGAATATGTGAAACCAACTTCTTTCCTCATTTTTTTTATTGAGCAATTAATAAAATCTTCCTTCCATATACATGCATAGTTAAAATTTTATAAACTATTTTTCATCACGTTTTTATAGAAAAATATATAAGAAATATATATGGTAATTGTCATTAACATTGTTGATATTCCTGAAATGAACATTTTTTTTATTACTTTTTTATCCTCACCTGAGGATATGTTTTTGTTGTGTTTTTGTTTGTTTGTTTGTTTTTTAGTTTTTATTGTTTTTTAGATAGAAAAGAAGTGGGGAAAGAGAGAGAACATCGATGTGAGAAACATCAATCTGTTGACTCCCATACGTGTCCCAACAGGGAATCAAACCCACAAGCTAGGTATGTGCCCTGACTGGGAATTGAACCCATAGCCTTTTGGTGTGCAGGTTGATGCTCCAATCAACTAAGCCAACCAGCCAGGGTAAAATGAACATTTTTTAAATAGAGTGGCAAGGGGTACCATTGAGATAGAGATAGGATTATAAAATAGTTATAGTTAGCCCTGTTGGTATGCTTCAATGGTTGAGCATCAATCCATGAACCAGGAGGTCACTGTAGTTCGATTCCTAGTCAGTACACATGCCCGGGTTGCAGGCACAGTCCCAGGTGGGCGGCATGCAGGAGGCAGCCTATCAATGATTCTCGCTCATCATTGATGTTTCTATCTCTTTTCCTCTCCCTTCTTCTTTCTGAAATCAATAAAAAATACATATATTTTAAAATAATTATAGTTAGACTATATTTAAGAAAATAGAAGAAAAAAATCTTGCCGTTTTTATTCTAGAAGGGAATAAAAAAACTGATATTGACTGAGTATTTCTTATGTTGGAACTGATTGAGAAAAAAAGTTTTTATTAACTATATTGAATGTTGGAATTGATTAAAGAAAAAAACTCAGCTGCTATTGACTAAATATTTTTTATGCTGGAATTGATTTCCAAATGTAGAAATCATGATGATGAGACTTGAACTGTAATATTTTTTAATTATTAAGCTGTCAATTCATTTCTTCTAGAATGTATAAAAATTATATAATTAGCTATTCTCTGGGGCTTTAATAAACTAAATTACTGAAATAAAAGCTATTATAATTTTAATTTTTATTCTGATGCTAAGCATATTGTTTTGCCATTTTAGGTTACCTTATTTTTTTTCATATTATAAATAAAATAAATGTTTCTTATAGGAAGATTATAGAAAAATACACAAAAAGCCCATGTTTTTAATTTATCAATATATGGTACTAATTTATTTACTTCCAGCAATATATAAGTATAGTTATATACTTCCACTTCTGTCAAACCAGTTTTCTTTCAGGGAATAAGAGTGGGATGGAGGGAGGAGAGGCCTTGTGCTAGGTATATGTGTTTACTAGTTTCAAATCTAAAAAAATCGCTTTATTTATTGATGTAATTGATTTAGGCTTTTCTAAAGAAATGTTTATTGGTCACTTAAAATTTGCTCTATAAGTTTTATGCTTCTATGTAATCTCTCAGTCTTTTGATACACTTATCTCTATATTTGATATCATGTTTAAAAAGCATTCTCGAATAATTATCTGTATTTCCTTTTTTCCTTTTTTAATCGTCTTTTCTAAATATGTTGCTAATATACCTGGATTTTTAAAAATTATGGTATAATATGGTAATCTTTTATTCTAATGGTGTTGTTGAATAAATCATTCTTTTCTACTCCTGTACTGCCCTCTTTTAATGAAGAACATGGTTAAGGGTTCTTCAGCCTTTTCTCACCAACTCCTTGTGATATGAAGTTAAATATGCAATTTTTAAATAAACTAGGGGCTGTTTTTATGTTTTCCCCCTTCCTTTTAGAGCAGTGATGGTGAACCTTTTGAGCTCAGCGTGTCAGCATTTTGAAAAACCCTAACTTAACTCTGGTGCCGTGTCACATATAGAAATTTTTTGATATTTGCAACCATAGTAAAACAAGGATTTATATTTTTGATATTTTTTTATATATATTTAAATGCCGTTTAACAAAGAAAAATCAACCAAAAAAACAAGTTCGCGTGTCACCTCTGACACGCGTGTCATAGGTTCGCCATCACTGTTTTAGAGTCTTGAACCATCTATATTGTGTCAGTACTATGCTTGCATGGATTTTAAAATGACACTAATTCAAAATGTGACTTTATTTTGGTTCTTATTCAACATTTATGATGTTTTTATTATTGAACAAAGTTTAAATGTTTGTCATCTATAGCCTCAGAAATTACTTTATAATCTTAAATCCATTCCTTAAGACTTATAGCACAAGGCACTGTGCTAGGTGTGGGGTGGGGTGAGATTGCAAGGAGCAAGGCAGACAACGATCCTGCCTGAGGGCCCCTCCTGAGTATATGTTAATGGTAATATAGACTAAGTAGCAGGCAAATAGAATAATATATATTATAAAGCACTTTTAACAGTGTGGGCATGGCTTCCTAAAGGAAACAGCATCTTAGCTGAAACCTTAAGAATAAGTAGGTTGAGTAGATGTCAACCAGGCAAATAGCCTAGAAAGAGTGTTGCTTGTAGGGGCTTAGAAGAAAAGAAGACATTTGGAGACCCAAAGCAAGAGAAAGCATTTTGCCCCAGAGTAACTTACCAATGGAGCAGGGAGCCCAATGAGAAGGAGGGAGGGATAAAAAGGTCTGAGAACAGTGCAGATCCTCAGGAATGGGTTTTAAGCAAATTGGGTTTTCAGATTTACATTTTAGAAAAATTATTCTTGCTTCCTGCAGTGAAGAGAGTGGATTAAAGTTGAGAGTTGTGACAGGGACTTGGAGATTTTTTTCAGTATAACAGATAAGAATTGAATATAGTCTAAATTAGATAGGCTAGGAGAATAGGAATAGATGTGGAAAAATGAGATATTTGTAAAGTAGAATTGAAGGGTGTGGTGATTGAATGAAGGAAAAGGGAGGAATCCAAGAACAGGCCCAGATTTCTGCCTTCGTCCTATTGGTGCACAGGTAGAGGAAGAACAGGTTTTAGACATGTTCCACATGAGTTGAGACATTCATCTGAGGAGGTCTTACATATTATTAGATGTAAAGATCTAACACCACTTAGGAAAGGAATGGACAGGCTATGAATTTTAGAAATTATCAGATGATGACTGAACTCTTAGAAATGAATAAAAATGCTGTGGGAATGCAAGTGTGGAATCCTAAGGAACACCCACATTTAAGGGATAGACAAAGGAGGAAGAGTCTGCACAGGAGCCCAAGAAGAGTGCTTAGTAGAGGGGAACTAGGAAGTTAAGAATCCAAGGGCAGAGATCCTTGCAAAGAGAGTCATTAGAAATGCTGCCCATAGGGCAAGTGAGGTCAAGACTGTGGAGTGTGTCCCATAGATTTAGCAACAAATAGCTCTTTTCCTTGGTAAGAAGGTGAAATAAAAGTGGGTTTTTTAAATTTGTTTTTTAATAAAAGAAATTTTATGCAATTACTAAGTTCTCAGATTTGCCATCAAAGGAAAAATGTACCTTTCTTATTTGCCCATTTCACTTATCAAAGTATTTTTTTTTTAAATTTTGTATTAAGTGTATTGGGTTGACATTGCTTAATAACATTATATAGGTTTCAAGTGTACAGTTGTTTAATACATCATCTGTATATTACATGTGTGTTCACCACCCAAAAGCAGAACTTTTTAATCCTGAATTTCCCAACTGGGAGACTCCTGAGATGCTGACATGATTGCATAGGTTGAATGCGTATTATAATTTTTAAAAGTGTAGATGTGGTTATGATCAATAGAGTTTTCAAAAATCACCAGAAAATATGTTCAGAGTAGATTTTGGATATTTTCTATTTTTCTCATATCAACAAAGACCAAAGTGATACTACTACTATTTAAGTGCCTTTGAAATGTTTTAACTGTATACAGGGAATCCTTCAGGATAGCCTCTAGAATGCTGTTACTGTTCTTCTCCTGATTCAACAGGTCATTACATGTTTAAATTCACTTAGTGATAATTCATTGAAGTATGCACTATTCTGTGTGTATGTTGAAGCTGAATAAAAAGTTTCTGTGGATTTTTTTTTCTTTTGAAATGAGCTATGAGAGAGTCCTCATAACTCCAAAAGAACTGTTGCATTAAATCAAGATTCCTCATATGCCTATGCCAAGGGGTTTTCTCCCACCCTTCCTGTGTAACTCACCTTGTGACAGGGGTGGAATGATGTTGCTAGATACTTTTTCATGGAGTAGTGATGACGTTGGGTTATCAGTCTAACTGGTAAGATTATAGAGAGACCAACAATCATTCCTGTGTCTTATTTTTATATTTAAAAATTTAGGAGCCCTAGACGGTTTGGCTCAATGGATAGAGCGTTGGCCCGCGGACTGAAGGATCCCGGGTTTGATTCTGGTCAAGGGCACATACCTCGGTTGCAGGCTCGATCTTGTGTGGGAGGCAACTAATCTATATATCTCACATCAATGTTTCTCTCTCTGTCTGTCTCTCCTGCACCCTTCCACTCTCCAAAAATCAATGGAAAATATCCTCGGGTGAGGATTAAAAAAATTTGAGGGGGGGGTGTGCGGGCGGGGGGGACTCTGCCCAGCTGGTTGAGCATCAATCCCTGTTCCAAGAAGTCCCTGGTTCAATTTTCAGTCAGGTCACATGCCCTGGTTGCAGTCTTGGTCCCAGCAGGGGGCATGCAGGAGTCAGCCAATTGATGTTGATATTTCTCTCACATCCATGTTTCTATCTCCCTCTCCCTTCCTGTATAAAATCAATAAAGACATATTTTTTTAAAAAAAATTTAGGGAGCCTTAAACCGAAGTGTACCTTTCCAGCCTCTACTTTTACCATAATGTAAAGCCATTATTCAACTGACAGTCCACTTATTTATTCCATCACAACAGGAACATACCTTGTTTGTTTCCATTTTGCTATTGTTCTTTTATACTTTTATCTTCTGATACAGCTGAGGTTCTCTTTGCATGAGAATCACTTGGAGGACTTATTAAACATGCATATTCCCAGCTCCACCCAAGACCTGCAGAGAAGTAATTTCTGTGTATGGTGTCCTGGGTATTTTCATTTTAACAAGTTCTCCAGGCAATTGAGAACCACTGCTCTGCAATCTAACCAGGCTCTGAAGCATCAGCTAGCTCAATTTTTCTTTCTCCATTAACTATTTCTATTTGCTTAGGAAGATCCCGCTCAGTACCCAATCTGTACTGCTCATTGCCTGTACATCTGCAACTTTGTACTTACCTTCAATTTTATACGGTTTCTGTCACCAAGTATTTAAGTTATAAGTACTCAACTCTGTCACTGTAGCAGGCATAGACAATGCATATGAATACAATGAAGATTATATTCCAATAAAACTTTATTTAGCTTTATGTAATTGCAACATGTCATGAAATGTTGTTATTCATTCCTTTTCCCCCAACCATTTAAAAAATGAAATTCTTAGCTTAAAGGCCATACAACAGTAAGCAGTGGACTGGATTTGGCCTATGGGCCATAGTTCACCAACCTCTTACTCTAGATTATTGCCCTAATACAATATTGGTCAATATACAGTAAGTATATGAGTACTGAGTGATTGAATTGTTATACTCATGATTCTACACAAAGCATATGTTACTCATATTTTATATATTACCTAGTGTACTAACTGGTTCAGAAATGTTTTTTGAATCACTTTTCAACTTTTCCCTAGAGTTAATGCCAGAATTAGTGTTTTCCACTTTCTTAAACCAGCTTTTTTTTTTTTTTTCCTGTGTGTTCAAATAGGAAGGTCCAAACAGTCTGATTAATGAAGAAGAGTTCTTTGATGCTGTTGAAGCTGCTCTTGACAGACAAGATAAAATAGAAGAACAGGTATATTTGTCAGTAAAAAATTTAACACTAGGTATTTCTTGATGTATGTTATTTTATATAAATAGAATTTGAAAACTGAAATATCTGATAACCTAGAAAATGAACTGTGTCTGCATTGAGTCAAAAACGTAGGAGAATCTTCATGTCATTCTTCCATTGATCAATTTCCAAGCAATGGAAAGAAGACCAATGATAGTTTAAAGAAAGCATGCAGCCCTGGCCGGTTTGGCTCAATGAATAGAGCGTCAGCCACGGACTGAAGTGTCCTAGGTTCGATTCCAGTGAAGGGCATGTGCCTTACATCCCCAGTGGGAGGTGTGTGGGAGGCAGCTGATCGATGTTTCTCTCTCATCGATGTTTCTGGCTCTCTATCCCTTTCCCTTCCTCTCTGTAAAGGGTCAGTAAAATATATTTTAAAAAAATAAAAAATAAAGCATGCATAATTAACATGAAGTTAAAATAAAATATTCTATTGCCCTTGAAATATCCAACTTTATCATGATCCTGTTAATATCAAGTATATATTTACTCTGAGTAAAACAGTCTCTTTGAACTTCTTTTTACCACCAAGTGCCATATAAATTCAAAAGGAAGATTACCAAGAATCTATTTTTCTTCCATTGGTACCATTCAGTTTTTATTATTAACTCCTTTATTGCTTTCACTATCGTAACCTTCAATTGCTTCCTCACTTTTAACTTTGCTTAGTGTTTTGTCATCATTAAATTCACAGTAGTTATGCCCAGAGTCTCCTGTGGAAGTGGAACTAAGCATATCTTAAATCCTTTAACTCTAATTTCAAGATTAATTTGATCACTTGCCTTCAATTCTGCAACAATGCAGTTGCCAAGTATTAACACTAGATGGTATTTAAGGGTGAATTTTAGTTACTTTTCCCAGGACTTGAAGCATCTTACAAATAAACGATATGTATATCAGTTGTACACTACAGATTTACCTGCATAAAAAAAGTTGACATGTTCATTCCTGCCATTGCTAACGCAGTCATGGCTATTATGCCCATTTATTAGTCTATCTACCTGAAGGTAAATCACCTGTAATAGTGGCTGCTTTTCATGTTCATTTTTCATTATTTTTTTATAACTCATGATAAAAAGTTCATGTAACATTAGTTTATAAAGCTTATTGCTTATTTTTTTGATAAGCAATATCAAAGATGCTACACAGCACTCAATAAGAGTGGGAACTTTTAGTTCTTAAATGACTTCTAATTTTGGATGCCAAACGTATTACCCAAAGCAGCATCATTGTGTTTGTTTTTTTAGGGTTTTTCGCCTACACTGTTTTTAGTGTGTATGTTCTGTTTTTATTTAATATGTGTTATCATAGAAAGAGTAGTGAACTGAGGTCATGACAACTTTGTTTTAGTCTTAGTTTTGCCACTGGCAAACTATAAAGCTATAAACTTATCACTTAAATTTTCTGGGCCTTGGTTTCCTGATCTGTGAAACAAGGGCTTAGACAAGATGACTCAAATCATACCTCTGGCTCTAAAATCCTACTCTAAATATCAACACATTGGTTGAGTTGGAGTTAAAAGAGAATCAATGAAAGCTTCTGTAAGCTTTAGAGAAAAGAAATATTCATGGGACTATCAACTCATTTCATTTCAAACTATTTTTGGTACTCTCGTAGTCCTCTACAAAACAAGCATTAAACAGACCCGTGACTTTACTTGCCTAATAACTAGGTATGTCATTATGACAGATGATTACAGTATGTTAGTGCTATAGAGGAGTAAGCATCAGTAATCCATGAAATCAGTTCCAAAGGTTCAGATCATTTCCCTCATTGTATGCATTAGATATTACACAGGGCTCTCAACAACACAACCACTACATAGGTAGTCTTCAGTGACACAGTTTTGAGTTTACATTTGTTTTACATTATTTGCCAACATAAGGAAAGCTATACAAAAAAGTGGTGAGTGAGAAATGAGATCTTTGCTGTTGTGTTCAGATCGTATTGAATAGAAATAACCAGTTGTCTTCTACATAGTTAGAAAATGAGCACACACACAGAACAGCAAAGTTTCTGGTGCATTACATTTAATAGATATTTCTAGAATGAGAAGAAACTAGGGAAGCTGAGGAGGAAGAAAGAGATTAAGTGGCAGCTTAACAGGAATGAAATGATTAGATGAAGACAAGATGAATACCTTTATGGAAAGGAGCAAAGACAGACATGACGTGTTTTGGAATGTGACTTAAGCAAACACTGATATTGATTCAAATGATACAGCCCTGCAGGAGCCTTATGAGGTGGAATGATTGGAATAATTTGGGCAGAGTTTGAATAAGAAAATCAGCAATATTAAATTAAGATTGATTTATGGTAAATGATATCATGTTGGCATTGGAGAGTCCGACTAGGAGCAAAATGAAAAAAAATGATCCCTGGGCTAAGTTAGTAACTGTCAGGTCCAAAAGAAGAGATTGAATTGGGACACATAAAGTAAATGTTAGAGTAGTTTCATGATTCAAATATTTCTAAGTGTTGGTGGCAAAACAGCATCAGGTGTTAGATTGGTATAGTCCAAGCATGTCAAACTCAAAGGCTAACACAGGCCAAATAAACAAGGTTTAAGTTTATGTGGGCCACAAAAAAACAAAAGCTTCGATTTTCATAGAAACATAGGATTATTTCAATAGAGACATGCTGAATACAAAGGGCCCTCCTCTCTGGTTCCAGGTGCATCACCCGAGAACCGCAGCTGCCAAGAACTTGCCAAGTCACCACAGTTCGGCAGCTCCTGCATTGAGCATCTGCCCCCTGGTGGTCAGTGTGCATCATAGCTATCGGTCGGAGTGTCTGCCCCCTGGTGGTCATTACGCATCATAGCTACCAGAAGGTTGGCCAGTTGCTTAGGCTTTTTAGCCTTTTATATATATAGATTATGTATTACAGGACATTGTAAAAATTAAGTTACGAAATTTTTATTAAAACATTTCTTACATTCGGTTATATTGGCTGGGTCGCAAAAATATTCATTGTGGGCTACATGTGACCTGTGGGCTGCGAGTTTGGCATGCTTGGTGTAGTCAGACCGGACCTCAGTTCAACAACCTCGGTTCTTGAGTTCTGCCTAAGAAAGAATTCAGAGCTGAGACTCAAACACAAGTAAAAGTTTATTTAGAAAGTCACAGGGCTAGAAGTGAGTCAGAAGAAATGGGCTTAGGAAACAAGTTACAGAGGCAAAAGAATAAATACCCTTGCAGCTTATGAAAAAGAAAGGCAAGGAAGGCAGACCTGGGGGTGGGGAAAAGCATAGGTGTGCTCCATGGAGAGAGCAGCACTGGGTTATCAGTCTTGAGGGTATTTGTCTGGAGGTTTCAGGGAGGATCCCAGTAGGATATTCATCAGCTTTACAGATGTGTCCTTTCAGGGTTGTGGTCTCCAGGGATTGGTCAGCACCAGGGTAGGGGGTCATTAGTCAATGCAGCTCGTCCTGATGTCAGCTGTAACATGGCTTGTCTGGTTTTGCTGCTTTTCTGGGCCTGGAGCTGAACACAACTGAGGCTTAGATATCCCTAGTTTAACCTAAGCTGTCTCCGTGGTCAACAGACCCGAGGCTTTGTTCCTAAGATTATTTGATGTGGGTCAGAACCTCATTGTCCTGGGGCTTAATCCTTAAGGGAGAAATCATGCGAGGGCTTGTATGGGAGCCTTATGAGGCTATTCTGTCCCCTTGTTCTCTGTCCCTCTTAGAGGGTCTAACCCACATGACTAGTGATATGCTCCAGGGAGGAAAGGTTACCCTGGGGATGGAGGTCTTTGGTTTCCCAGTTTTGCCCATAGCTAGGTACCTGGGGCTTTTTGTTCTGGTGACCTTCTGTAGTTGGCCTGTCATCTTGTTCTGCTCATGTCTGTCTTAACTGCCTACTACATAAGTTCTGAAGTGTTCAGTAGTTAAATGTTTATAGTTTCAGGTTATAGGTTATATTAACCATTCTTTAGCTGCAAAATACACTTAAAAGCCTTTGCCTCTTAACATTATATGTTTTCTTAGTCACAGAGCGAAAAGGTCAGGTTACATTGGCCTACATCTATGCCATCTGGAGATGCCTTTTCTTCTGTGGGGACTCATAGATTTGTCCAAAAGGTAAGCCTAATGTCAGAGTTTACTCCAAGTGTATGCTGTATTGTTCTTCACTGTTGATGGAACTATCTTGTATAAGTTTTCCTTCCTTTTCTTGAACGTAATGAGATTTTTTTTGGTATTGTATGTTTTATTCCATATGCATCCTCCAAAACAGAAATCTTATGATTATATTCTTTCTTTTTCATTTAAGAGGAAAGGAGTGGGGGGAGAGGGGGTAACAGGGAATGACTAGTCCAAAATTGCCAAAAGCATAGCCAGTTACATTAAGTTTATTTTTTCTTTGGGTTTAAGTGGTATTATTTTACATTGTTGAAAGCGCTGCATTCATTTTAGAAAGATTTTGGAGCATAACACATAATAGGTGCATGGACTCAGCACTTGCTGCTGAGCTTGTTTCATATAGTGCTTTGTTCTCTCTCTTTATCTTGTGTTTGGAAGTTGGTACTGAATGCTCTGTTGTGCCTTTGTTCTGATTACTTGGTTTTTTCTTTGTCTGTCTCTGGTAGCCCTATAGTCGCTCTTCCTCCATGTCTTCCATTGATCTAGTCAGTGCCTCTGACGATGTTCACAGATTCAGCTCCCAGGTACTGTATGAATGTATAGAGTGGACTTGAGTCTTTATGTGCTATATTTCAGCCTGCTTTCCCAGTTCCGAGAAATCTTTTGGTTAGGCCACTTGTTTTCGTTCTGAATTTTAAATAGTGTTATAAGCATTAAAAAGGCCTTCCTTTCTACTAAGTAGTTCCTCTATCAAGCATGCATGTGCCCTTTGTATCTTTTACTGTGAATAGCTTGAAATTTTGCCATATAGGAGGTATTCCTGAAAGATTGTAAATTGAATTGAAACACTTGAAGGTACATAGTTTTTAAGTATTATGTAATATCTGATTTATTCAGACAGGATTCAGCAACTTTGATGGACATGGTTATAGCATAAAAGCAGGATTCAGCAGCCTCACTTCTAATCTAATTTAACATATAATTATATTCAACAGGGAAATAACTTTTTAAATAATATATGTTGAACAGCTTGTACTTTCCTTATGCACATTACCCTTTGATACTATAAATTAATACTTCTGTTCTATACTAAATTTATGGAAATTGGTTTTAATTGATTATTTGATATCATCAGTAAGGGTTTAGAAATTTAAGACAGGAAGCCAGATGCTTGCAATCTCTGCTCTCATAATAAAGTCATTAAAACAATATATTTTAGTATCAGCATTAGTTGGGGGAAAATTTTTTTTTATCTTTGCAATTCAACTTTGTATCTCTCTGGTGATTGAATTTTATTGGATTAAATTATTTTATTTTTAAGAACTTGAATTCCCAAAGTGACCCAAGTTTAAATTGTGGTTAGCTGCACTTCTGTGATCTAGCTAGGACTCAGGTCTACCTAGGGCCTGGCATGTAGTCAGTGCTCAGTAAGTGAGCTTTTAATAATATAATAACATAATTTCTTTGAGTTAATCAGTATTATCTATATCATTTTTTCTCTTATCAGAGTATTTCAATAAAAGTTTTTAAAATGCATAATAATGCATGATTCTTACTAGTTTACACAAATGAATAAAGTTTACATTAGTTTTTTAGCTATGCAGTGAAGAACAGTAAGTCTAAAATCAAATTGTGTTGTTCAGACTTTTGCAGTTTTTTTCTTCTTAAACATTTTTGAGAAAGAGATGTATCAATTTATCAGAAATCACCTGGAGCCAAAACTAACTAAAACCCATCAGTACTGGTCACCATTTTCCCTTAAAATGTAGGAACAAACAGGCTATAGATGAAAGAAAATGTAAGTGAGAGCAAGAAAAGAATACAAGCCACTGATAAGTGCCTAAGAATTGGGGTTTCAGAACCCAGATCAGGACCCTGGCTGTAGAGAGCTATAGAACAGCTGAAAGCCTTCAAGTACAGGTGAATATGTCACTGAAAAGTAGGTGCCCAGCTTTTTACAAGATGTCTGCCAAGTCATAGGTTAATTCTTTACCTAATTTTTTGTGTATCTCCTGTTTGTAAGTTGAGAAGTCTTTCTGAAGGTTTTTTTTTTCTCCCTAATATGTGATTAATTAGCTTTGGCATCTGTGTACAAGTCTCAGCTCATGACCGCTTTGTTCTTGTTGAAATTATGTTCATGATTCTGATTGGATAGGATAATTAAACATAGAATTATGAGATGCCCTGAAAAATAACTTCAAGTAAAATAAGTGAAACTACTAGGAAATTAACAAAATCATGAATCTATCTTCTGAGCAGAAAATGGGAATGAAGTAGCTCTAAATCAAAGTGTACAGAAAGTAGAAAGGACTTGGATTTATAAATGGATCTTTTGGTCACATTTATTTGCATTACACAGTTTCCAACTAAAGATGTCATTTCAAAATGAGAGAAAAAAAATCATCTTTTGAAAAAATAACATCAAAGGGTGGGCAGTACAGCTGCAGGTTAATCTATAGTGAACATCACTGCAAAGCAATTCTGTGTAAAGCTTTTCTACTTTATGTTCATAGTAACACATTGTTGTGGTAATTATTTTACTCCTCCCTTTTTTACTGTACAGTAATACATGCTAATTGTAGCAGAACTAGAAAGTAAATAAAAGTAAAATACTATACCACTTGATATTCTCGTGCATATAAAAAATCAGGCCCTAGCCGATTTGGCTCAGTGGATAGAGCGTTGGTCCCGGGTTCAGTTCCGGTCAAGGCACATGCCTGGGTTGTGGGCTCGATCCCCAGTGGGGGACTTGCAGGAGGCAGCCGATCCATGATTCTCTCTCATTGCAGATGTTTCTATCCCTCTCTCCCTCTTCCTTCCTCTCTGAAATCAATAAAAATATATAAAAAAATAAAAAGAAATAATCAGGCTCATATGATAAATAAACATACCTTAATTGTCTTTTCCTACCACAGTAGTTAAATCTATATATACTATTTTGTAACCAGCTTTATTTTTTAAACATATAATTAGGTCCGTCTTCCCTTCAGTAATAAATAAAGGTCTGTATCTACTTACCTATTTATGGATTGTATACTGGGTTTGCCTTCTCACCTGATAGTGAATATTTAGTTTATTTTAGGTTTATCGCTATTATAAATAGTGCTACATGGGCATTCTTGTATATATAACATCTTTATATATACATTTTTGTACACTTATTAAATTACTAGAGGCCCATGCACGAATTCGTGCACGGGTGGGGTCTGGCTGGCCTGGCCCCAATCAGGGCAAATCGGAGCTGAGCCTGTTGGGAGGAGGAGATAGTGGGAGGTTGGCCTGCTGGCCGACCTGGATCAGGGCCTCTGATCAGGGCTGGGCTGGCTGGGGGACGGGGCCACGGGCAATTGGCCAGCGGGCCCTGCCCCCGATTAGGGTTGGGGGCCGATTGGAGGTGGGCTGGCCATGGGGAGGGGCAGTGGGCTGGCTGGCCCCTCCCCCAAATGGGGTGGGTGAGGGGTGCCGATGGGGGGGGCAGCGGCTGGGTGGGAGGGGCCATAGGTGGTTGGCCAGCCGACCCTGCCCCTGATGGGGGGTGGGAGGGGAGGGCCAATCTGGAGTGAGATCTGACAGGAGGGGCTGCAGGAGATTGGCTGGCCAGCCCTGCCCCCTGTTGGGGTGAGGGGTGCGATCAGGGGCAGGCCAGCCATCGGAGGGGCTGCGGGCTTATCATGGTAGGGCGGGCTGATGGGGACACGCCTGGCGGGAGGGGGGGGGGGGACGTTTGGCCGGCAGGCCCAGCTCTTGATCAGGGTGGGAGAGTCCAATCAGGGGCAGGCCAGCCAACTTCACGGCCCCACCCCCCTGATCTGGCCGGTTCATTGGCCACAGTGGGTGTCATAGTGACCGGTTGTTAGGTAGTTATGGCCGTCACGGTAGCTGCCTTTTTTATATATATAGATTTCCTTAGAATATATTCTTAGAATTGTTAGGATAAAGGCCATGCACACTTAGGAATTTTAAATTAGATTACCAAACTGTTCATTAAAAAAGTTGAACCAACTGTATTCCCAGGTCAGTTTCCTTTTACTATACTGACACTGAATATTATAATTCAGTTAATTTTTGCCAGTCTTATACACTAAAAGTGGTATTTTTGCTTCTCGCATTTTTGCCATTTTTCTGTGACTTTTTTGACTGACTTTGCATTGCTTTAACTTATGTTACCTTCTGTCAATTTATATTTGTGGAATCTGATTTCTTTTGGACCAAAATAGATCACTTTTCAAACTTTTGAAATTGCTAATTCAGGAATAACCTCCCAAACAAAAACGCAGTTACCTGCATACTTTCCAACAAAAGAGCTAAATGGTGGTAAATATTTTTTTAAGCAGAACTCTGTTTTTACTAGAATAAAACCCTTCACATTCTTCTTTCACAAGTAATCCATTATAAGTAGGACTTAGTTGGGGGAAACTCTTTTTGCCTTGAATCTTAAATAAAGGTATTCTTAACTCCCAGTGTCCGACCTAAAAAGTACATATCAAATCTAAAGATTTTTAAGATCTTAAGATCTAATAAAGGTAAACATTTTTCCATATCAGGATGTAAAACAGACAGTGAGTGCAGTGCTACTGTGACTTTTTTATTTATGGATACTAACTGGAACTTTCTTTGTTCTCTTTTGGAAATGAGATACAGTTTGAATGTATTTGTAACTTGGAGTCCCACGTTAGTCATCCTTACCTTCTAAAGCATATTTCAAAATTGCAGAGGCACACAGGTTTTTCCAGGCAGCTCCTGAAGTTATGTTTTACAATATTAGTCACATTATAAATTTTCTCTCAGGTCTGCAACCCAGTATCATTCACACTGTTTTCAGCAATGAGTAAAGAAATAAAATGTTATGTTAGTGTTTATTTAATACAAAAATAGATTATAGAATCTCAGCATGTATTTTTATCAAAAACCTTTTTGTGATCACTGCCAATTAAGGAGATACTTACAGCATCCTGCTTTCAGTAACCAAAGATGCATTCTGAGATCTAGAAAGCTTGATGTCGCAGAAGTACAGCCACAATACCATATTGATCACATCCTTTTGTGTATAAAACTTACATCCCCAGGGTTAGTAATTTTAAGTTTCTGCCCCCAAATCATTAATTTTGTATTTGTTCATTTCAAAATATTTGTAACCTGGCTGGCATGGCTTTGTGGCTGAGTGTCAACCTTATGAACCAGATGGTCACGGCTCACAATCCCCAATGTGGGGTGTGCAGGAGACAGCTAATCAATAATTCTCTATCATCATTGATGTTTTTCTCTCTCCCCCTCCCTTCCTCTCTGAAATCCATAAAAAATATTTTTTAAAAATAAGTGTAAACATGGTTCTTGTTTTTTATCCCTAATGAACACCATAGACTTTATGTAAAATATGTAGCTAAACTTAGGGATACATTTTTAATCCAAGTACAGTGTACATATTTTTCAATTCTCCCTGCCTTCTCTAATGTATTTACTACATAAAACAAAATAATGAGTAAAAATTTAGAACATAGAGTTTAGATAAAGTGTCTGAGTAGATGGTAAAGGAGCCAGTTCCTTCAGCAACAGTCTTTTTATCATTTCAGTGAAATATCCAAAGTTTTATTACCTTTTGTAGGGAAATCTTGGTGTATTTAGTATCTCAATTGTAGTCTTAAATATGGAAACACTGGACTAGATGGTCTCTTCATGCTCCTTTTATCCTTAGAGTTTAATGAATTTATGCTTTAAGACTTCATCTCTGTAAGGAAGCGCATTATGGTAAAGGAAAGACCCCCCCCCTCCCGAAAATGCTTATTTTTGTCACTTGATGCACCTTAGGCCCAGTGTACAGCATGTTATTTGATTAAAGCATCTTTCCATATTTCTCCCTCCTGTCATTAACCTAGATATTATATCTAGAATGTAGACTAAACTCTTCATACCTACTAACCTTTGTGCATTTGGTTGCTCAGCTCTCTTAAGAGCATCATTTCAGAACTGAAGTAAAGTGAGTATCATTGTTTCTTGGAGATTATGTCATAGCTATTAATTGGAGGCGGATTCTTACAGCTTTGCTTTTTTCTTTTCAAGGTTGAAGAGATGGTGCAGAACCACATGACGTATTCATTACAGGATGTAGGTGGAGATGCCAATTGGCAGTTGGTTGTAGAAGAAGGAGAAATGAAGGTAATTCTCAGTGAAAAGTTATAGGTTGCTAATTGCACCTCTATTCTAGTCATATTGTCGTCATTGATACGAATAAGGATAACATTAAAAATTACTTTTAAACACATTACTACATATGATCAAAGAAGCACCAGATATTGATAAATAAAATGTCTTTTTGCTTTCCTGGTTTAGCTTTTATATAATTTCTTAATGATCAAATCTATGCACAAACCATTCTGTTTTGCCTAAGCCATGGAGAAATAAAATTTTGTGGTTTAAATATGAACAGGCCACAATTAACTGATGGCTCTCTATTTGGATATTTCTCTCTTTTAAAAAATATTTTTTAATTTATTGATTTTTTAGAAAGAGAGAGAATGGGGGGGGGGTAGAGAAACATCAATGTGTTGTTCCATTTATTGGTTGATTCTTGTATGTGCACTGCCCAGGAATCGAACCAGGGATCTGGGACCCCTTGGTACACAGGACAACGCTCAGCCAACTGAGCCACACTGGCCAGGGCCATCTATATTTTTTAGATTCCACGTATAAGTGAAATCATATGGTATTTGTCTTTTTCTGTCTGACTGATTTCACTGTTGAAAGCTAATTTGTTGTTCAGTTTTATATAGACTATGTTGACCAGAATTATTCTAGCAAATGGGATGCAATATTAAGTGTTTGGAATTTCCTCTCCTCCTGAATAGGGAACAAATCCTCCTATATAATAAAGAGGTAATATGCAAATTGACCATCACACCCTCCCACAAGATGGCCGCCCCCATGTGGGCACAAGATGGCCAGCAGGGGAGGACAATTGTGGGTGATCAGGCCAGCAGGAGAGGGCAGTTGGGGGGGACCAGGCCTGCAGGGGAGGGCAGTTAGGGGCGACTAGGCTGGCAGGGGAGGGCAGTTGGGGTGACCGGGCCAACAGTTGGGGGCAACTGGGCCGGCAGGGGAGCAGTTAGGCGTCAGTCAGGCTGGCAGGGGAGTGGTTAGGAGGTGATCAGGCGGGCAGGCAGAAGTGGTTAGAGGCAATCAGGCAGGTAGGTAGGCGAGCGGTTGGGAGCCAGCAGTCCTGGATTGTGGGAGGGATGTCCGACTGCCCGTTTACCTGCAGTCGGACATTCCCTGAGGGGTCCCAGATTGGAGAGGGTGCAGGTTGGGCTGAGGGACCCCCCAACCCCCAGTGCATGAGTTTCGTGTACCGGGCCTCTAGTAAGAAATAAGGTAGAAGAGACAGGCAAATGAGATACTGAAATGCTATAATTCTGATGATCTGATTGGATTACAACATGGAGACCAACTGTCACAATGTCTTGTTAATATGTTACCTCTAAACATGTTTCTGAGATACCTATATAATCAGAGGCCTTTCCCACAAGAGCAAGCCTTAAAAGCAGACCAGGATGCATGCTCTCTGCAGAAGGGGTTGAGCCACATCTGCCTAGTTCTCCCTCTGTACTCACTATGCAGATAAGTCACTGTTTCTCCCTTAGGGAAGTTCCAGGAAGCGAAGGGACTAAGTAGAAAATAAGTGCTCCTACAACCCACAACATTAGAAAGAGAAATTAGGGCTGGATTATAATATAACCCACTAAAGAGAATAGTCTACCCTTTGTAGCACTAGGTAAGCCACTATGCAAAGTAGCATTTTCAGAAGAGTAAGCTGATAGGGAAGCAGCAAGAGACCAAGAAAACCACTTGAGAAAGTCGGGTATAAGATGTTGAAAGTCTACCTAAAAGAGTAACCATAGTAGAAAAGTCAAGTTGTTTTTTATAGAAGATTGGTAATAATCTTAATAGCCTACGTGAAGTATGAGAGAAAGAACCAAAAGTCTACAGAGTTCCATTTCAGATGACTCGGAAAATAGCAGACCCAATAGCAAATAAGTAAGTGTATAGGGAATGGAGTTTGGGGAGAGAGATTGTAAAAGAGAAAGTTCATGTGAAATACCTAGTAGTATCTGGCTCCATGGGCTCTCCATAAATTGAAAGCTGATTCTTCCTTTGGTAACATTGTTTAATCACTTGTCAAAAGAACTTATTACAGGCCCTGGCCAGGTGGCTCAGTTGGTTGGGGCGCATATGGGAAGCAACCGATCCATGTCTCTTCTCTCTTTCTCTCTCTCTCCCTCCCTCTCATCATGTCCTCAGGTGAGGATTTAAAAAAGAACTTATTACAGAGTTCTCTAAAGTAGCAAGCCCACAATAATTTTGAAATAACTAGTTTTAATCAGCACTCCGGTACACGACCTTATTATCTAAAGCAAGAGAGCATAGATCTTTATTACATTTTAGTTTTCAATCATTGATTCAGCAAATAGTTGCTTTACTGGGTTTCAGATTCTATGCTAGATGCTGGGGATATATTAGTGAACACAGCCGCCTTAAATCAGTATCCTTAAAGAGATTATGTTTTAACCAGGTTTATTTGTCCTTTTTTGCCATGTTGAACAGTCTTTGAGAATGTTTAGTAAATAATGCCTGATTTAAATTGATACATTTATTTTTTAATAACTCACAGTAATTAGTCATTCATCATTATGCATATTTTTTCATAGTTGAAATTTGCCTTGGATTTGTAGTTTTAAATATTTTAATGTGTTAATAATTTAAAATTTTAAACTTAATTTTAACAGAATGTTTATGTTCCATAAAGAGATTTTCGTAAATCCTAAAAAGCTGTTAAATTTGAAAACATGCTTTCAAATGTTTACTTTAGGATTTTTAAACAGATTTTTAATTATGTCCTGTATAGGTATATAGAAGAGAAGTAGAAGAAAATGGGATTGTTCTGGATCCTTTAAAAGCTACCCATGCAGTTAAAGGAGTTACAGGACACGAGGTCTGCAATTACTTCTGGAATGTTGACGTTCGCAATGATTGGGAAAGTAAGCTGCTATTATTAATGTATATTAATATAATTATTATTTAGAATTTAATATCAAACCCAATCTGATTTTCTTCATATGATCTTTAGTTTGCAAAGTCAATGTAGAAAATATCTGGAGAATCATATAGGGGACTGATAATACTTTATATTTAAATAAAGTTTTTCACACTATAAAATGCTTTGCAGTATTTTTTAGCATTTGATTTAATACCTCAACAATTTTGCATAGACAAGTAATAAAGTAAAATTCAGATAGGTCAAGTGACTTGTCAAAGGCCACAGACCTAGTAGGTGTAAAAGCCAGGACTAAAACTAAGGTTTCTGTTTTATCTACTTTTCTCCTAGATTGTTTTGTTTCCCTGGTAAATCCTACATGAATCCTGCTGTGGTTTGTTTAGCTACTTTGGCAGGGGGTGTTTCCCTTAGACACCAGATTGCATAAATAGATACTTTTGAACATCATAAGACGTATATCAATGACAGTTTGACAATCTTCCCAGTAAATACAGTTACCTAAACCTAGATAGAGCAGTTTATTCAGCTTCAGTAAATTAGGGATTATAGGGAGGGGTCATAGTGTTGGGGAATAATTTGTGCCTGAGTAATGCAGTGTTGATATAGAATCGCCTTCTTGCTGTGGAAGCTAAATGTTGGATAAAGGAAAATGAGATTTCCTGGTGATCAGCTCCCACAGCCACCATCTATAGCCCTAATACTAGGTATTAACTACCTTCCATTTGAACTTGGCCCAAGTGGGGCAGAGTCCTGTTCATTCTACTATAATGTTCATTTGTAATTGAATCTCAGTATAAGTGAATTAATCACCTTCTAGGGAAAAGCAATATGTCTTTTTGGCTACTAATATTTTCCCTTCATTTCAGCAACTATTGAAAACTTTCATGTGGTGGAAACATTAGCTGATAATGCAATCATCATTTATCAAACTCACAAGGTAAATATTTTTTCATCCCTAAAGGATTTCACTATAATTCAAACTGAGACATACAAATTTTCTAAAATAAAATTTGACAGGAAATTAAATGCCAGAAAAGATCTAAAGGCTTTATTAATAATTCAGGAATGCAAATATTTTTTTAGCAGCTAGTCTATGGGAGATTGATAGTTATCGAATATGAAAGTGAATCATAGTTTCCTATGACATCAATATAATAAGGGAAGTGGAAAAGTATGTTATTTGCCTGTGTTAAGACTCATAGATATGAAAATGATCTTAAGTAGATTATCTAAAAACAATGAAAAGTTGCTGAGCATAACTACTGAGAAGTTGGTCATACACCAGAGCACACAGAAGCATTGTCATTTAAATTGGTTCCCTTTTACTTCATTTCTTCCTTTGCTGATCTACATTTAAAGTTTTAGAATAATATTCATCTTACTTTATTCTACTCTCTTCCCCTTCTGAAAATTGCCAAATAGTATTTCAAATAAAGAATAATAAATTAAACTTGGAAGAGATCCACAAAAAGTAATATTATGTTATATAGGAAATATAATGATTCAGTAAGTACTTCATTTTTTTTTCAAGTGACTTTTATTTTTTTAATGTATCTTTATTGATTTCAGAGAGTAAGAGAGAGGGAAAGAGAGATAAAAACATCAATGATGAGAGAGAATCATTGATTGGCTGCCTCCTGCACGTCCCCTACTGGGGATCAAGCCCACAACCCAGGCATGTGCCCTTGACGGGAATCAATCCTAGGATTGATCCTTCAGTCCGCAGGCTGATGCTCTATCCACTGAGCCAAACCAGCTAAGGTTCAAGTGACTTTTTAATTGAGCTGAATATGTGAAAATATTTGCGATTTGCTCTGTATTTCTTAAGCTCAGTCTTTCACCTGAGGCATTTTATATCCAACTAGAGGCCCAGTGCACAAAATTCATGCACTGGGGGCAGGGTTCCTCAGCTCTGCCTGCTCCCTCTTGCAGTCCAGGACCCCTCGGGGGATGTAGCAGTGTGCCAAGCAACAGGCGGCCAGGGAGGAGCCCAAATTGGGGCCAGGCGCTGCTCACACTCATCCCGGTCTGCCTCACCAGCTGCCACGGAGTTGGGGAGAGGCTCCCATTGTGGCAGCTGCGCTCCCCAGCCGTGAGCCCAGCTTCTGGCTGGGTGGTGCTCCCCCTGTGGGAGCACACTGACCACCAGGGAGCAGCTTCTATGTTAAGCGTCTGCCCCCTGGTGGTCAGTGTGCATCATAGCAACCGGTTGTTCCACCGTAACAGTCACTTAGGCTTTTATTATATAGGCTAGAGGCCCAGTGTGTGAATTCATGCACCAATGGGGTCCTTCCACCTGGCCTGCGGGATTGGGCCGAAACTGGCTCTCCAACATCCCCCAAGAGGGTCCTGGATTGCGAGAGGGCTCAGGCCAGCCAAGGGACCCCACCGGTGCACGATCGGAGCTGACAAGGGACATGGGAGGTTGTCCAGCCAGGGAGGAACCATGGGAGGGCTCCAGGGCATGTCTGACCTGTCTTGCTCATTCCCAATCAGCCAGACCCCAGCAGGAAGCTAACCTACCGGTTGGAGCATCTATCACCTGGTGGTCAGTGCACGTCATAGCAAGCGGTTCAGTGGCCCTAGCATGTCATTAGCATATTAGGCTTTTATTATATAGGACTAGAGGCCCGGTACACAAAAATTTGTGCACTCGGGGTGGGGGTGGTCCCTCAGCCCGGCCTGTGCCCTCTCGCAGTCTGGGACCCCTCGGGAGATAACGCCCTGCTGGCTGAGGCCTGCTCCAGGGTGGCAGAGGACAGGCCTAATCCCTAGGTGCAGCCCCTGGTCAGGCTCAGCAGGGACGGTTAGGGAGTTGGGGCGCTGCCACCTGTTATGCACAGAGCAGGGTGGATTGGGAGGTTGCAATGCCACCCTCAGTCACGCTCAGGGTAGGGCCGATTGGGGGTTTGGGGCACCGCCCCCTGTCACACTCAAGGCAGGGTTGATGGGGAGGTTGCGGCGCCACCCCCTGTCACGCACAGAGCAGGGCCAATCGGGGTTGGGGCACTGCCCCCTGTCACGCACAGAGCAGGGCCCATCAGGGGGTTGGGGAGCTCCCCCCGTCACGCACGGAGCAGGGCCCATCAGGGGGTTGGGGAGCTCCCTCCTGTCACTCACAGAGCAGGGCCCATCACGGGGTTGAGGAGCTCCCCCCTGTCACTCACAGAGTAGGGCCGATAGGGGGGTTGGGGCACCGCTCCCTGTCACACACACAGCAGGGCCGATCAGGGGGTTGGGGCGCCGCCCTCTATCACCCACAGAGCAGGGCCGATCAGGGGGTTGGGGTGCCGCCACTGTCACACTCAGGGCAGGGCCGATGGGGAGGTTATGGCTCTACCCCGTCACACACAGAGCAGGGCCCATGGGGTGGGGGGGTTGGGGCACCACACCCTGTCACACACAGAGCCGCAGGGTGATCAGGGGGTTGGGGAGCTCCCCCCTATCAGGCACAGAGCAGGGCCGATCAGGGGGTTGGGGCGCCTTCCCCTGTCACAAACAGAGCAGGGCCGATAGGGAGGTTGTGGCCCCGCCCCTGTCACACACACAGCCTCAGGGCGATCAGGGGGTTTGGGCGCTGCCCCCTGTCACGCTGATCCCGGTGCCGGGAGGCCTCTCAGCACCGCTGATCCCGGTGCTGGGAGGCATATTACCCTTTTACTATATAGAATAGAGGCCTGGTACATGGGTGGGGGCCAGCTGGTTTGCCCTGAAGGGTGTCCTGGATCAGGGTGGGCGTCCCCACTGGGGTGCCTGGCCAGCCTGGATGAGGGGATGATGGCTGTTTGCAGCTGGTCACACACCCTTCAGGGTGGGGGTCCCCACTGGGGTGCCTGGCCATTCTGGGTGAGGGGCTGAGGGCTGTTTTCAGGCTGGGACTGAAGCTCCCAACTGCTCCTTTTTTTCTTTTTTCTTTTTTTTATTCTGGGCCAGCTTTAGCTCTGAGGCTTGGCTCCAGCTCTGAGGCCTCAGCTGCTGAAAACAGGTATCTGGTTTGCTTAGGTTCTATAATCGAAACTCTGTATCAACTCCAGCTCTGAGATCCCAGCTCTCTGATAGCTGGTTTTTGGGGTTTTGTTTAGCTTCTATATTTGTTACAATGTTTTTTCAACTGCAAGGCAGGCGGGGAACGTTGCAGTCCTCCGTCACTGAAGCAAGCAAGCCTCATGTTCAGTTTAAGCTACCTGGCTGCCAGCCGCCATCTTGGCTGGCAGTTAATTTGCATATCGCCCTGATTAGCCAATGGGAAGGGTAGCGGTCGTACGCCAATTACCATGTTTCTCTTTTATTAGATAAGGATGACTATAAGCTAGGCTTCATTTTACATGGTAGCTGCTCAAGAAATGTGTAAAAATGAAGATTCTATTTCAACATACAGATTTGTGCAGGGTTTAAGTGTAATCTGAAATTTAGTTGATGTTAAAATATCAATTAATTGCTCTATAATTTAGAATAAAGATAAATAGCCAATAATTTAGAATCAGAAGAATCTTATTATTTGATGATAATTGATCCAGGAAAACAATCTGCTGCCAGTATTTCACTTGGTAAATAATAGACAGAAGGGAGGATTATATAGGTTGTATTAGGTTTATTTCTTGAAAAATAAATCTAAAAATTATTAAAATAATGGATCATACATAACAAAATTTAAGTTACAATTATAATTATTTGAATTAAAAAATCCTGGCATATTTTTCAACAAAATCCAATAACACTATGACATCTTTTTTCTTTAGATTTGGCTTCTTTTATAATATGGTCTTAAAGAGGACTACTCATCTTCTAATATTTAAGTCATCTCATTCTTTAAATTTCTCTCATCATCCTCCTTTTGGATTTGCATTTATTAGTTCTAACATGATTAAATTTTCATTTATTACTAGTTTCACATACATTTCTCCAACACTACTTTTGTTGACTGCATGAAATTTTGTATCTTTAAAATATAAACCATTTCACTTTGCAAATGATTTGTGTTGTGTTGACACTAAGTTGTTGGCTACTTTTTATAGTCAATAATCAGAAAAGACAAGGCATATTTTCTCTCATTTAAAAGTACAAAAGCTCCAGTTTTCTGAGACCTAGGTACCATGTCATTCCAACAGTATATGTTTCTCCTTGTATACCATAAAACTCAAAGATTCTGTCTACCTGATTTGGAATTCTTCAAGTGTGATTATGATGTCAAAAGAGTAGTCGTCTTTCCCTAAAATCTTTGCTTAAAGTCTCTGAACAATTTAAGCTGAGGTTTAATACTATAGTTAAAAGCAGGATATTGCCAGGGCTTGAGGAAGGGGGTGTAATGCTGTGTCATTTCTTAATAGGTACAGAGTTTCTATTTGGGATGATAACAGTTCTTTGAAAATGTGGTAATGCTTACATAACATTCTGAATGTATTAATGGCAATGAATTGTATACTTAAAAATGGTTTAAATAGCAAATTACTATAATTTAAAAAAAATAAAAATAGCAGAACACTATTCCTTTGCTATAGTTCTGCAAAGCCATTAACTCACTGTCCATAATTAATCCTTTGGTGGGTATTCTCAGATGCTTTTCATTTAAAATTTGACAGATTTTTACCTTCAACTAAGATACTTATTGATTTTACATTTGTTTCTCTGTTAGTTCCATATTACAAATGAATAAAGAATTGTTCAAATTTTCAAATGATTTTTACTTCTTCCACAGAGAGTGTGGCCTGCTTCTCAGCGAGATGTATTATATCTTTCTGCCATTCGAAAGATACCAGCCTTGACTGAAAATGACCCTGAAACTTGGATAGTTTGTAATTTTTCTGTGGATCATGATAGTGCTCCTGTAAGTCCATTGTATAAATGTGTAGAGTTGTATAATATAAAGCTAACTATACATGCAGTACAAAAATGATAAACACATGCCAGACACACAGATACTAGAGTTGATAATTCTTAGATTTTGTGCTATTTTGGCTTCTTAGAATAATATAGCCTGTGTATTATCTGAAGAACAGTAGTCATGGCTGTGAACATTTCAACAGGTCTCTTTTCCTTTGTTTCTGAGATGAGGTGAGACAGCACTGATGGGTAGTATATGCAGAATACTTCTCACAGTTGCCTCTTAAGTCATGATCAACTACTGGCAAAACCTCTGGTTGCTTCCTCGATTTAGCTCCATTTACTACGTAAAAGAAGGAGAGATCATTTCTGATATCTTAGCAGTTTGGCATGTGTTGTTTGATCCTTGTAAGATTTTGTTGAATATTTTGATGAGTTGAGGTTTCAGCTTACTTAGTTAGTATTATTAGACTAGTAGAGATTACAAAATACTGGGTATCTGCTATACTGCTGTTTCGTTTTTATTTTTTGTTTTGGCAGCTGAACAATCGATGTGTTCGTGCCAAAATAAATATCGCTATGATTTGTCAAACCTTGGTTAGCCCACCAGAAGGAAACCAGAAGATTAGCAGGGACAACATTTTATGCAAGATTACATATGTAGCTAATGGTATGTATGTATTTCGTTGTTTGTTTTTGCTATTTGGTAATGTGGATATTCTTAGTGTGACCTACATGATAACTAACCCTTTGGACAAATACCATTACAAATGCCTTTTGAGTTTTTATCCTTTAGTAATTTTTAATTTGGAAAGATGTATACCCAACTTTCAGGAAATATACATACCTGCCTTCCACCCCAGAACTACTACTATATTAGAATTTTTGAAGCTTGGACTAGATAGGTAAATTTTAAAACTTTAGGCCAACTGACGTGGTTCAGTAGTTGAGTATCAACCTATGAACCAGGAGATCATGGTTCCATTCCTGGACAGGGCACATGGCCTGGGTACAGGCTCGATCTCCAGTGGGGGCCATGCAAGAGGCAGCTGATATTTCTATCTCTCCCTCTCCCTTCCTCACTGAAATCAATAAAAATATATTTTTTTTTAAACTTTATATTAAGACCACTATCACATATCCTTGGTTTTAAGAACCATTTTATTAAGTATTTACCTAAAAGAATATACGTAGAATTAGAAATGTAAGCAACAGTGGGAAAGGAAATTAGCAGTTCTTTTTTTTTTTTCTTTTTCTTTTTTTTAGCAGATATTTTTCTTATTGTCAGGCTTGCTCATTTTTTTCATCACTGATTGGTCCCTAATCCTTATTAGTTGCTACTTAAGTGTTTGTTTTATATTGACCTGCTGCTGGACAGCCCTGTTGCTTTGGTTCCTTATTACTAAACCCATTTCCTACTTGTAGTAGTTACTGAAATCCAAATCCTCATACCTTCTTTATATAGGACCATAACTGCTAGTGTTCTTTAAAGAGATAGTTATGCCTGAGTAAGTTATTATCCCATACTAGAGGCCTAGTGCACAAAATTTGTGCACTCGGGGGGAGAGGAGGGTCCCTAAGCCCAAATTGCGAGAGGGCGCAGGCCTGGCCGAAGGACCCCACTGGTGCACGATCAGGGCCGGGGAGGGATGCAGGAGGTTGGCCAGTGGGGGAGGTACCGCGGTAGGACTCCAGGCATGTTTGGCCTGTCTCGCTCAGTCCCGATCAGCCAGACCCCAGCAGCAAGCTAACCCACCAGTCAGAACATCTGTCCCCTGGTGGTCAGTGCACGTCATAGCGACTGGTCAACTGTCTACCCCCTGGTGGTCAGTGCACGAGCAGTTGAGCGGCCTTAGCATATCATTAGCATATTACACTTTGATTGGTTGAATGGAAGACTATACAACCAGACGCTTAGCATATTAGGCTTTTATTATATAGGATAATAAAAGGCTAATATGCAAATCGTTGGAAGAGCGGAACGACCGGTTGCTATGACGCGCACTGACCACCGGGGGCAGACGCTCAAAGCAGGAGCTGCCCCCCTGGTGGTCAGTGCGCTCCCAAAGGGGGAGCGCTGCTCAGCCAGAAGCTGGGCTGACGACTGGCAAGCGCAGCGGTAGTGGTGGGAACCTCCACAGCAGGCAGACATCCCCTGAGGGCTCCCAGACTGCGAGAGGGTTCAGGCTGGGCTGAGAGACCCCTCTCCCATTGAGTGCACGAATTTTTGTGCACTGGGCCCTCTAGTATATATATATATAATAGCCTAATATGCATAGTGACCCCTCAGGAGTTCAACTGACCGGGAGTCCCATCACCAGCTATGACATGCGCTGACCACCAGGGGGGCGGCACAGAATGAAGGAAGGGCCCCAGCTGGCAGCCAGCAGCCACTAGGGACCCTACCCGTGCATGAATTTCGTGCACTGGGCCTCTAGTTTGATTATAGTAGAGTTTAATGAAAAGATCTGCCTCAACCTAAAGTGTAGCTATACTAATATTTAAATATGTCTTAGGGAAGTAAGAACAATTTAGAAAGGTAATAAATGCTTTCTTATTTGCTCTCTGTTCTTGTTTGGTAGTTAATATGAAGGATTAATGGTCAAGACTTTTAAGAGATGCCAATTGTTCCAACATCATAAATTTTTTAAAGCATAGGAACAAAATGAGTGCTTCATGTGTATTTGGAGAATTGTATCTTAACATTTTAATTTTTCTTTAACTCGTAGTGAACCCTGGAGGATGGGCACCAGCCTCAGTGTTAAGGGCAGTGGCAAAACGAGAGTATCCAAAGTTTCTAAAACGTTTTACTTCTTACGTCCAGGAGAAAACAGCAGGAAAACCTATTTTGTTCTAGTATTAACAGGTACTGGAAGATAGATGTTATCCTTTTAAATTTTGACTAACATGACTCTGTAGACCAGGAATGGGGAACATTTTTTCTGCCAAGGCCCATTTGGATATCAAAACATCATTTGCAGGCCATACAAAATTATCAGCGTAAAAATTAGCCTGCTATATTTGGTCAAACATTTAATTTATTCACCCCTAATGTCTTGGCAGGACCAGACCAAATGATTTTGTGGGACTTATACGGCCCACAGGCCAGACATTCCCCACCCCTGCTGCAGATACTAAAATTTAGTTAACTGTTGAAAGTTGTTTCTGTGTTTTATGATGTTCCCAGGTAAAGAGTTGTTGTTTTTATAGCCTTAAAACTTACGTTTTTATCTTTCTGTTTATGTTAAATAATACCTGCTTATTTAAAGAAATTTCAATATTATGGAACTGCATAATTTCAGAAGTACAAATTCCCTATATCTTTCCCTTTGCAGAAATTACTATTAGGTTTGTGATATATTCTTCCAGATTTTTACATATATGTACTGACATATATGTATTTTTAATTGTTTAAAAAATACGTTTATATTATTTTGCAGCTTGTTTTTCTACTTAATAATAAATTTTAACTATTATTCCATATAAAGATATGAGACATATACAACCATCTCATTGTTTTAAAATGTTATATAAATGTTGCAGAATTTATTAACTAGTCTCAATGGTAACATCTATTTTGGTTTCATATTTTTACTGTCAAATAATGCTGCATTGAACATCTTTGTGCAAGGAGCCAGAATCTTTAATTATCTGTAAATAAGTGATGTGTTAACATGGTTCAAAAGTCAAAAGTATAAAGAGATACAGTAAAATTTATCCCCTATTCACTTAGTTTTGTCCTCCACACACAGAAAAGTGTATTAACTGATATTACTAGTTTCTTGTGTATTTTTCCACAGGTTTTTTTAATGCCTGAATAAGCAAATACAATTATAATCTTCCCACAGATACTCTTTTGTTATTGAAGAAAATGTAACATACTATAAACACTGTTCTGCATCTTGTTTTTGCACTTTTATTATTTTGAAGGTTTTTACATTTCAATGGGGAGCCTCTTTTTTTAAGGCTATATAGTCTCATTGTTTGAATGTACTCTTGCCATGTAGTTTTAATTGTATTTTTCATATTATGAATGAGTTTGAGCATCTTTTGGTCCATTGGAGAACATTTGTATAATTCTGTTTCTGTGAACTCTCAATGTGTGTTAGCATTTAAATGTTTTTCTTTAAAATTTATTTTTAATCCTCACCCAAGGCTATGTTTTTTTTGTTGTTGTTTTTTTTGTTTTGTTTTTTAATATATTTTTTATTGATTTTTTACAGAGAGGAAGGGAGAGAGATAGAGAGTTAGAAACATCAATGAGAGAGAAACATCGATCAGCTGCCTTCTGCACATCTCCCACTGGGGATGTGCCCGCGACCCAGGTACATGCCCTTGACCGGAATCGAACCTGGGACCTTTCAGTCCCGCAGGCTGACGCTCTATCCACCAAGCCAAACCGGTTTCGGCTGTTTTTTTATTTTTATTTTTTATTTTAGAGAGGGCGGAAGGGAGAGGGAGAGCGACAGAGAGAAACATCAATCAGTTGCCTCTGATATGCATGCACCCTGGCCAGAAATTGAGACCACAACCTTCTGGTGCATTGAACGATGCTCCAACCACACTGCCCAGGGCAGCATTTAAATTTTTAATAGAAGCTTGGCTGGCATGGCTCAGTGGTTGAGTGTTGATCTATGAACTAAGAGATCATGGTTTGATTCCCAGTCAGGGCACATGCCCGGATTGCAGGCTCGATCCCCAATGTGGGGAGTGTAGGATACAGCCAATTAATGATTCTCTCTCATCATTGATGTTTCTTTTTTTTGTTTTTTTTTTTAATTAAATCTTTATTGTTCAGATTATTACAGTTGTTCCTCTTTTTTACCCCATAGCTCCCCTCCACCCGGTTCTCACCCCACCCCATGCCTCTCCCCCCCTCCCCCCTACTGTCCTCATCCATAGGTGTAAGATTTTTGTCCAGTCTCTTCCCGCACCCCCCACACTCCTTTCCCACCCAAAAATAGTCAATCCACTCCCTTTCTATGCCCCTGATTCTATTATATTCCCCAGTTTATTCTGTTCATCAGATTATTTATTCACTTGATTTTTGGATTCACATGTTAATAGATGTGTATTTGTTGTTTATAATTTGTGTCTTTACTTTTTTCTTCTTCTTCCTCCTCCTCTTAAAGGATACCTTTCAGCATTTCGTATAATACTGGTTCGATGGTGATGAACTCCTTTAGCTTTTCCTTATCTGTGAAGCTCTTTATCTGACCTTCAGTTCTGAATGATAGTTTTGCTGGATAATCTTGGTTGTAGGTTCTTGGTATTCATCACTTTGAATATTTCTTGCCACTCCCTTCTGGCCTGCATAGTTTCTGTTGAGAAATCAGCTGACAGTCGTATGGGTACTCCCTTGTAGGTAACTGACTGTTTTTCTCTTACTGCTTTTAAGATTTTCTCTTTGTCTTTTGCTCTTGGCATTTTAACTATGATGTGTCTTGGTCTGGTCCTCTTTGGATTCCTTTTGTTTGGGGTTCTCTGTGCTTCCTGGACTTGTAAGTCTATTTCTTTCACCAGGTAGGGGAAGTTTTCTGTCATTATTTCTTCAAATAGGTTTTCAATATCTTGCTCTCTCTCTTCTTCTGGCACCCCCATAATTCGGATGTTGGTATGTTTGAAGTTGTCCCAGAAGCTCCTTACACTATCTTCATATTTTTGGATTCTTTTTTCTTTTTGTTTTTCCGTTTGGGTTTTTTTTTTTGCTTCTTCACATTTCAAATCGTTGACTTGATTCTTGTGATCTTCTAGTCTGCTGTTGGAACTCTGTATAATATTCTTTATTTTAGTCAGTGTATTGGTCCTTTTTCATAACCTCGAGGGTCTCACTAGATTTCTTGAGGGTCTCACTAAATTTATCGGCAGTCTCACTAGACTTATTGAGGGTCTTACTAAATTTATCAGCAGCTTCTAGAAAGTTCTTGAAAAACCTTAAAAGTGTGGTTTTGAACTCTATATCCAGTAGTTTGCTTTCCTCCATTTCTGTCATTTGTGACCTGTTTCTTTGTCTCCACATTTTTTATGCTTCCCTGTGTTGGTAGAATGGCTTTCTGTGCTAGGTGTCCTATAGGGCCCAATAGTTCAGCCTCCCTAATTACCTGAGGTGGACACTCTTGGTGCATCCCTTTGTGAGCGTTGTGCACAGTCTTGTAATTAAGCCTTGATTGTTGTAGGTAACACTGGGAGGAATTGACCTCCAGGCCAACTGGCTGTGAGAATCAGCTGTGTCTGCAGTGGGAGAACTTCTCTGCTGGAGACACCCTTCTGGGGCAAGACTTGCTTCAGTGGGGCTTTGGTGCTCACTGAGTCTGCCCCCTGAGTGTGTCCCTTATGAATCTGAGGAATTGTAATCTGGATGGTCCCACTCTGACCACTGGGTACACTGGCTCTTGTATCTCTAAGGAGGTGCTAATTTAGCCTCTGCTTGAGGCTACCCAGCAGGAGCCCAGCTGTGAAGCAATGCAAGCTGCTGTGAGGCCTTGGGTCTTCTTTTGGAAGTTCTGGGTTTCTCTGGCTCAGCTGCAGTTTGTTAGTTAATTTTCAGATTGCAAAGGGCCAGGCCTTTCATATGCAAAAGCCTCTGTGCACAGCTTGCGTGGGGCAGGGTCTCTGGGGATCAACGGGGCGGAGCAAGCAGCTATGGCTGCTCCTCAGTCCTACCCTAAGAGGCCCCACTTGTCAGTGTCCCAGAAATCGCTGCAAGTACCTCTGAGAGAAAGCCGCCCTCGAGTTCCGACTGATGCCAGATAGTCCAGTTTCTCCTGTATGAGTCTGGGTCCCCAGAGACATGCCCGGAACTGGAGTTCAGAGCAGTCAGGAGCTTGAGACTCCCTCCCGATTGAAAAAGACAACCGTGTCCTCAGTTTCTAGCCCTTTCCAGGTGCGCCGCATCCTCAGCTGCCAGCCCTTTCTGTGTGTGCCTCGGTACCTTTGCACTTTACTTCCACACCGCACCTCCTCTGAGTCTCAGTGTGCTTTTCTCTTTCCTTCTAGTTGTAGAATTTCCACTCAGCCAGCCTTCCTGTGGTTCTGGATGATGTCCATTTTGTCTTTTATTTGTATTTTTTAAGTTGCTGTGTGAGGCAGCAATTTCCAGTGTTTACCTATGCCGCCATCTTGGTTTCTCCATCATTGATGTTTCTATCTCTTTCCCTACCTCTTTGAAATCAATTGAAAAAAATTTGTAATAGATATTACCAAAGTATAAGTTACAGGCAGTGAGTATACATGAACATCTTCTCATTCTTTTCTGTACTGAATGTTAAATCATTAGCTGAGAAATTTATATTCTTGAGTAGATAAAAATAATATAGCCAATCATATGACTGAGGTCTTTAATTAAATCTGGTTTCTGAAGCTGTCTATAGTATATCTTTTTGTTTTGTTTTATTTTGTTAATCCTCACCCTCAGACATTTTTCCATTGATTTTTAGGGAGAGTGTAAGCAGGAGGGAAAGACAGAGAGAAACATTGATGTGAGAAAAACACATCGATTAGTTGCCTCCTACATGAGCCCTGACAAGGGCCCAGGCCAGGGAGGAGCCTGTAACCAAGGTACATGCCCTTGCCGGAGTCGAACTCGGGACTCTTTGGTCTGCAGCCCAACGCTCTATCCACTAAGCCAGCTAGGGCTATAGTATGTCTTTTTTTAAAAGACCTGAAAAGCTAAATCTATTATCAGATGCTAACACAAGGGTTATTATTGCACTGATGTCCTAGATATTTAGATTTTCCCAGGAAAAAGGTGACCTGAAAATGTTAAACAAATTCTGGCTTTACTGATCTGAATGCTTAGTGTTTTGGAATAGAGCCTGACCTTTGAGGAATTCTCTTTCTTCAGGCATAAGTGCATTGCATAAATGTGCTGACTATTTTTAGACTATTTTGTACTTAGGATTTTTATGACTAGATCTGTTCACATAATTTCTGCACCATATTTGTCAAAACCAGAAACCTGCTGCCACACAATGGCAGTAGACTTGTCACCTTGCCTAAAGATTTCTAAAAAGTTGCTGTTTGCTCTAACCAAGACTAAGTATTCAACTCTATCTGCTTTCTCTCTTCACCCCCACACCCAGCCTTACTAAGCAGGGCAGAAAATATAACCATGTATGAAGCAGGATAAAATCAGAATGCAGTTATATATAGGGTCGAGCAAAAGTAGGTTTACATTTGGGAGTATACAAAACACATAGTTTATTCTTGTATTACGTATTTATTAAATATTGTCTTCTTTTCCATACAAACAACTGTAAACCTTATTTTGCCCACCCCTGTATAGAACATGCTCTCAACTATGTTTGAGAGGACTAACTTCTTAAACATTTCAAATATATACACTCACACATTACTAGCATTTGCCTCTAAACTGTTTGATTTGGAGCATTGTTTTATTGACTGACTGTGGGGCGGGGGGAGGGGGGGCGGTGTCTTCATTCTTTAGTGGACCTAGGAGGGAAGTGGTTGAAATCCCTTGGGAAAAAAATTCAAGGGGGAGGAGGTAGCATTGTTTGTGGACCTTTGTATATGTATGTAAAGATAGAAATTAAAAAAAAGACTCACTGGCCAACAATTAGCACTGGCCTTGAATCCAGATTGAGCTTCTTTCTGACAAAGAACCTAAATTCTAACCTTAACATGTGGTAAAAATCTTTGTTCACCTAAAGTAATGTTTGTTTCGTAATAACGAAGATGTATCTATGAAGTGGATTCTAGCACTGTAACCTTAAGAAAACTAACATTCTTAACTTTGGTGATGGAGAAATAACTGTCATTAATCAGCATCGTCTTTAGAGAAATTCCATAAAGTTAATAAGGTCCAAAGATTTTCAAAACTCGTAGTCAGATTTCTTAAACACATTTGATGATGTCTGTGCCTGTTTGTTTTTTAAGTCTTTTCATAGCCTAAGTAAATTTTTAAAATTCTTGAAAAATTACATAGCATAATTTTTATTGAATGCCAAGAAAGAAATGCCAGTTTGTGAGGTACAAATCCAGAGACCTTTGGTTGATTCCCTCTTGGTTTACCTGTAGTAAGTACATTACCCTTTTACATTTCTAGCTTTCAGAGATTCCTTATTCTTTCTGTTCCTTCTGATGAACAGTTTTATATTCTTAAAGTTGAAAATCCTTTAAAGATAAATTTTAAGAGAGAATCTATGCATTCCATGAATTCAGAGGGTAGGGGGAATCTATTCTGGTAGTCTTGCAGTTGTTAGCAATATATTGCTGAATTTTTAACTTGTTATTTTTTTTCCTACAGTGACTGAAACAAGGCTGTGTGACATTCCATGTTGGAGGGAAAACTTTAAAAAAACCACACACACACAAATTGAATGCTCTAAGTTGGAACGTAGGATCTACAGCCTTGTCTATGGCCCAACACCTTGACCTTGTGTACAAAAATGAAGAAATGTTGCAATAGCAAAGCTGAACGTCTAACCCTAGCTGTCGCCCGCTAGACCTCCATGCTCAGCTATAATTATAAATACATGTAAAATTACATGAACATGGCTATATTTTTATTTGCTTGCTACTAAAAGAGAGAAAAATCAGCTTTGAATCACAACTAGGAATTGATGCTTTAATTTTTGGAAACTTTTTTAGAATTTTTAATTTAGTACATGGTCCAGCCTAAGATCCTCAGTTGTATCAGGTTTTGTGCACAAAAGAAAAGCACGAAAGTGGAATGCTCATGGGGCGTGTGCTTTCTGTGCACCAAATACCTGGACGGGGCTCTTTTTTCAGGCCTGCAGTTCAGTCTGTGTCTAGAATTTTTCAGCCTTTTTTTTTTGCTTGTATAATCATAGAATTCATTGCTGCTGATTTCTGTACTGATTCATGTAGTAATGTAAAGTGTCTCTTAATAACTGAGGGCTGTCAATAACCTGTGATTTTGCCTTTTCTATATTCTTACTCCCATGAAGAACCTTTGTTCTGATGGAGAAAGAATGAAAAGCTTTATTCCTCTCCCCCTCCTACAACCCCAGTTATCTTTATAGTTCCTGTATTTTTAGTTGTATTCTGTACACTATAGCTTTTTTCTTTTTTTTCAGTTTGTTAGAAACAGAATTTGGCAATTTCTAAATTGGTTCTGCCTGCCTTTGAACAGAAACATCTGTATAAATCTTGTGGGTATAAACTGCTTTCTGGAAAAATGGTCAGGATAAAATGAACTCAGAATTTTTAATGAAATTTGTAAGAGGATATGCAGTTATTGTGAAAGCAAATCAGACTGAGTTTGACATTTGATTCAATATTTTTAGGACTCAGTAACAGGTTTTTTTTTTTTTTAGTTTTTCTAATTTGGGTTAGTTTAAAAGATATATTGCAAGATATGCATAGAAATGTGAGCAGTGCTTCTGTTGCCTTTTGATCAGAAACTTCAGCAGAGCTTTAACGCTGTGATTCAGACTGAAATTCTTTCCTTAGTGGCTATAAGAACTTAAATGTAAAATCCTTTTTTAGTTTTATTAGTTTTAGGCCTCTGTGAAAAACCGTGAAGCATGAAGTTGAGGCAAGGAATTATACTCATCAAAGTAGAAATGACTGCCCACTTCAAAACCTTCATTATGTTTCTACACAAACGTGCTTGCATAAATCAGAGGCATTTTGTAGATGCTTTGCTGACTTACTCATCTCTGTAGAAACACAGAAATCCAACCCATTTTGTAAAGCAGAAAGTCATGTCACGTGGAACATGTCTTGTATATATTTCATATGTGGTATTGGAGTCTTAATGATAAATGCAAGGTGATAATTTAATGATGGGATTAGTCTGGTCACTTCATATGCACAATCCTGGAGGTGAATTACTTGCATCAAATGTAGTGGTATTTATTATTCTGTACAGAGAGGAAATACATGTAAAACATATGCTTACATTACATGCACGCAGATTTCATGCTCCATAAATCTTTTCTATTTTTTAATTTACTTTTCTCTAAATGATGTGCATGGAATATGCCTTATTATAGAAAAATGCTGTTCATAATTTGACTACGTGGAAAAGTGCCTATGGTGGTAATGCTAATAAGGCAAATAAGACAAATTCTATCAGTTTACTACATCACCAGTTAACATTTTATATTATGATGTTTAAAAAAGAAAAGTTTATACCTCAAATGTGTATTTTATTTTACAATCAGCTGTGGGTCAGGGTGTGGGAGTATGGGAGGGTTGGGGAGGGGAGGTATATTCACCATAGATGCTGATGGAATCTTCAAAAAAAGTTCTATATGCCCACTATAAATGTTTCTCTGTTTGCCATTTTTTTCTGGTAACTATCATGAACACAGACAAGTAACTCTTTCGTAACTAAGTTAAATAGCTTTGTTTTACAGAGGTATGGAAAGTTTACAAAGCAGTATCTAAATCTAATTATCATTAGTTGCATTTGCACTAAATGTTAATGATATACTTTTGCAATTCTGTAAATAAAATGATTACTCTAAAATATTTGTATTAAAAAGGAAAAGAAAAAGATACATTTTACCTTTAGATAACTGCACTGGTACTTTACTAGAGTTAATCCTGTCCAACCAGATTTAGAAATGAGTAGGAGAGTATGAAAAGAATTTAAAACAGGTTATAATTTGGATAGGTACTAGCCCTTTAGACAATTTTCAAACCCTCTAGAATTCCGTCTGGCTAATTCCTACATACTCTGAATATACATGATGTTTTCTCATCCATAGTTATTTTCTACTTCTCTTCCCCAAGCCAAAAAAAATTATCTTTTTACTCTTTTTTCTACTCAGTTACTCTTTTTGTACTATGATAGAAACTTTAAAAATATTGGTGATAAGGGATTTTGTTCCCTGAGTGCCCACTCTACAGTTCAAGAGAAAGAGCACAGTGTTTCAATTAGAATTCAGGACTCGTGGTTTTGAGGTGGAGGGTGATCATAGCAGCTCTTGGTTTGGGATCGCCACAGGGGCAGCCAGACCTAGGAGGAGGTTGACTGAGAGAGGTGTTAGAATACAAAATAAGGCAAAGGAAGAATAGGTTTCCCATTTGTTCAGTTTCATCAACTAATTTGTACACCTACACAACATCAGTGTCGATTGCTTTGAGAAGTTTTTAGTAGGGCTGAGCTGGTTCTCGTGAAATTGTGCTGGTTATCTTTAAACTTATCAGTTGTTTGTCCAATTAAACATTTTCTCCAGTATTTAGTCCAAGTTATACAGACGATGTATGTGGATTATTGTTATTGTTCATCTACAAACTCAAAACATAATCATTTTAAAGTACCTTGGGAGTGTATAGAGTGTAACTATTCTATAATAGCTTTATGATCCTGATGATGTTTTTTTTAAAAAAAATAATAAAGTTGGATCTTCCATGTTACAATTGCAAAATTAAAACCAGTATTTAAAAGTGGAAAAGTATTAAAATATTATGGACAAATGTGCTTGTTTGATTGTTTTCCTTAATCCCACTATACTGTCCTTCATAACTCTCTGAGTAGTTAGCTTGAAATACTCCAGTTTATTATTCTTCAAACTAGGTTGTAGCCCAGCTAGGTATCAAGAAAACTGTTAGTGAGTTATGATCCAATTATTTTCTTAAAACAGAATGGAATAATAAAGTACATAGAATGTAATAAAGGTAAATACTTTGTGAATATTTTTTCATATGTATAAATATGTGTGTATAGTGGGTTACAATTTAAAATGAATTTTTTACTGTGTCATAGTCCAAAAAATTTTTTTAATTGCTAGACAGTGGAAGCATATATATATCGTTGGAAATTTCTAAAATGAAACTACAGTGCCAATCCACACATATTTAACTACATGAATTTAGCCATAATAAGTCATTTCTCATTTATTGAGTGGTAGATACAGGAGAATGAGTAAGACAGGAATAATGATAAGAAGGTGACAAGTATTTTGGGCTTTAAGCTTTAACTAAGTCCCTTGGCTTGTCAGGGTTAGTTTACAGGACTGCAGCAAGGGAGAAAACTAGGAGGAGACAGAAGTTCTCTGGGGAGAAACATTGCAGGCTATGCAAAGTAGTTGATTTTTGTTCTGCCAGCAATGGGAGTCCCTGAGGGCTTTTTTGAACATTTTTCTTTTACACATCTGAGAAAAATCAGTGGTACTTGGTGCCCGGTTTTGTTTGGATGTGGAATAAATCAACTGTTAACATTGTTTTTACTTGTAAATAATTCCCTTGCTAATGATAGAAATGAGGAGGGAAAATCAGGAGTTTTTAACTTGAGAAATGGAAGTGATAGCATCTCAAACTGTAGCTGCTTAGTAGTTACTACCATGTTTATAAAATACTAGAGGCCAGGTGCATGGATTCGTGCACTGGTGGGGTCCCTCAGCCTGGCCTGCAGGGATTGGGCTGAAACCGGCTCTCCAACATCCCCCAAGAGATCCCGGATTGCGAGAGGGCACAGGTCAGGCCAAGGGACCCCACCAGTGCATGAATCTGTGCACCAGGTCTCTATAATAATAAAAACGTAATATGCAAATCAAATGGCTAGACAGCAGAACTACCATCTGGACCACCTTCCAGATGAGGCCAGGGCTGTGGGGGCTGGCCTACTCTTTCATGATTCATGCATTGGGCCTCTAGAATGCATATAAGATCTTTGGTTAACCTCTTCCCAACCTCCTCCATCCACTCTGAGATTCATCAGTCCGTTCCATGTTTCCATGCCTCTGGTTTCCGCTCCTGCGTTGAGCATCTGCCCCCTGGTGATCAGTGCGCATCATAACTACAGGTCGGACGGTTGCTTACACTTATCCTATCTAATAAAAGAGAAACATGGTAATTGGCGTACGACCGCTACCCTTCCCATTGGCTAATCAGGGCGATATGCAAATTAACTGCCAGCCAAGATGGTGGCTGGCAGCCAGAGAGCTTGAAACTAACAGGCTTGCTTGCTTCAGTGACAGAGGAAACCAACCTTACCCGCATGCCTTACCTGCCTCTGAGCCTGCAGTTTGAAACATTGTAACAAATATAGACGCTAAACAAAGCCCCAGAAACCTGCTTTCAGCGAGCCGGGATGTCAGAGCTGGAGTTATACATTGTTTCGATTATAGAACCGAAACAAACCAGATACCTGCTTTCAGCAGCAGAGGCCTCAGAGCTGGAGCCAGAGCTAAAGCTGGCCCAGAATAAAAAAGAAAAAAAGGAGCAGTTGGGAGCTTCAGTCACCCGCCAGCCTGAAAACAGCCCTCAGCCCCTCACCCAGACTGGCCAGGCACCCCAGTGGGGACCCCCACCCTGAAGGGTGTGTGACCAGCTGCAAACAGCCATCATCCCCTCATCCAGGCTGGCCATGAACCCCTGTGGGGACCCCCACCCTGATCCAGGACACCCTTCAGGGCAAACCAGCCAGCCCCCACCCATGCACCAGGCCTCTATCCTATATAGTAAAAGGGTAATATGCCTCCCAGCACTGGGATCAGCGGAGCTGAGAGGCCTCCCAGCACCGGGATCAGTGTGACAGGGGGCAGCACCCAAACCCCTGATCGCCCTGTGGCTCTGTGTGTGACGGGGCGGGGCCACAACCTCCCTGTCGGCCCTGCTCTATTCGTGACAGGGGAAGACGCCCCAACCTCCTGATCAGCCCTGCTCTGTGCCTGATACGGGGGAGCTCCCCAACCCCCTGATCGCCCTGCGGCTCTGTGTGTGACAGGGTGCGGCGCCCCAACCCCCTGATCGGCCCTGCTCTGTGTGTGACAGGGTGTGGCGCCTCCCCCTCACCCCCCCACGGGTCCTGCTCTGTGTGTGTGACAGGGTAGAGCCATACCTCCCCATCGACCCTGCCCTGAGTGTGACAGTGGCGGCGCCCCAACCCCCTTAATGGCTCTGCTCTGTGGGTGATAGAGGGCAGCGCCCCAACCACCACCCCCATGGGCCCTGCTCTGTGTGTGATGGGGTAGAGCCATAACCTCCCCATCAGCCCTGCCCTGAGTGTGACAGTGGCGGTGCCCCAACCCCCTGAATGGCCCTGCTCTGTGGGTGATAGAAGATGGCGCCCCAACCCCCTGATCGGCCCTGCTGTGTGTGTGACAGGGAGCGGTGCCCCAACTCCCCTATCGGCCCTACTCTGTGAGTGACAGGGGGGAGCTCCTCAACCCCCTGATGGGCCCTGCTCTGTGTGTGACAGGGAGCTCCCCAACCCTCTGATTGGCCCTGCTCTGTGCATGACAGGGGGTGGTGCCGCAACCTCCCCATTCACCCTGCCTTGAGTGTGACAGAGGGCGGTGCACCAACCCCCCAATCAGCCCTACCCTGAGCGTGACTGAGGGTGGCATTGCAACCTCCCAATCCACCCTGCTCTGTGCATGATGGGGCGGTGCCCCAACTCCCCAATCGGCCCTTCTCTGAGCCTGACCAGGGGCTGCACCTAGGGATTGGGCCTGCCCTCTGCAACCGGGGAGCAGGCCTAAGCCAGGAGGTCGTTATCTCCCGAGGGGTCCCATACTGCGAGAGAGCACAGGCCGGGCTGAGGGACCCCTCTTCCCCCGAGTGCACAAATTTTTGTGCACCGGGCCTCTAGTATATATATAATATAGATAAAAGTTATGTGAATGTGGTCCCTGATAATCTAGGCAGCCATTCAGTGACTAACGGGCAGGTAACATACAATGAGGATACACTGGGCAAACGCATGATTCATGTACCAGGTGGAAGAAAACAGGATGGCATGAGATTTTATCACACTACTAAATTGTTTATTTCTGGTATTTTCCATTTAATACTTTTGAACTGCAGGCAACAAACCACTGAACATGAAACTGCGGATAAGAGTCCAAAGTAATGTACTATAATATTGCTTGTTGTACTAATCTAGCAGCTGTACTAATAAGCTTATCAGTCCAACTAGCTTGTAAGCCTCAGAACATAAGGCCCCATCTAAAATAAGCAGTTTCAATGGAATGTATATTTGAGGCAGCAAATTAGTGGGGGAGGGGGAGGGGAATTGATAGTTTGTTGTACACCTGAAACTAACACATTTTATGTCAACTATATATTAAAAAAGCAAACCCTCACTTTAAAAAAAAAAATGGATAGGTTGTGAAAAGAAGCAAATGGGACTGAAAGGGGCAGAGATTTTTATCTCAATGAGAAGGTACATATTTGACAACAGGAGGAATAAATGGAGGAGGGTGAGCTGTCTAAGAACAGTATTTTAAATTCAAAAGGATGAGATCCAGGAAGAGGGACACCTTTATCTTTTCCCCTAGGATTTAGGCTTTATAAAAAGATCTGAATCTCCCAGCCAGGGATTGTGGCAAACGTGCAAGGAATTGTAAAGCAAATGCTGTGACAGCCCACAGGGTCTGGGCTGCAAAGAGTTAACTAGTTAGCTTTGCAGTTCCTGAGGAGACATGATAAAAGAGAGGCAAATGGCTAAGCAACTCTGCCCAGATCCCTGAGGATGCTCTGTGGAAGGCATAGGCTGTTCCCTAAACTATACATGAGATCCTTATCACAGCCACTAGAAAAATGCCTCATATTTCACCTTCGGCTAATAAAATGCTGTACACATATGAGAGAATATAACATTTTATAGTGTGTGTAGAGTAAGATAAGGACAACTGTCTCTTACAAATAAACTAAGAGAACCGTGAAGTGAATAGGTCTCACAGTTAGTAGTGACAGGCACGACTGAAATGGAGCTCTCTATGACTTCCAGCTCAACACTGTAAATGACTTATTTTTATGTTGGAATAAGTCCTAATTATATTAATGTATTCAACATCAAGTACCTTAACTTTAAGGTGCTATACTAAAGTAACAAGACATTGTCCCTGCCTTGAAGAGGTCTCAGTCTGGAGGAAAATGGGGGCAAGATTTACCACTGGAGTACAGAAAAATCTTCAACTTTTATTTGTATATTTTTATTTTGTTGGATAATATACATGTCAACATAATCTATCAAGAAATACATTTATTAGAGGTGTTTCTGAAAGTTTTTTTCTGATGGGGCATTCAAGATTTGGATTCTGGCCCTAACCAGTTTGGCTCAGTGGATAGAGCATTGGCCTGCGGACTGAAGGGTCCCGGGTTCAATTCTGGTCAAGAGCACATGCCTGGGTTGTGGGCTTGATCCCCAGTAGGGGGCATGCAGGAGGCAGCCAATCATTGATTCTCTCTTCCTCTCCCTGAAATAAAAATATATTTTTAAAAAGAAAAAATATTTGGATTCTGGCCTCGGTAGGCCCTTTCCTCAAGAGCTTTGCAATTATCCAGGCTACACCAAGTGTACAAGCCAAGTGTAAGCCTTGACTACTTCCCAAGGGTTGTGCAGTGTGAGAGCATCCATGTCTGTTGAAGGTGCCATGGCCAGAGGTGAGTGGGATGCTCTGTACAGATCTGAGTGTATTTTGCTACTAAGAAGAGCAATGTAAGTTTAAGAATGAGGTCGGGTTCTCGCA